ATCATGGGACAAATTTTGAAATTGAAGTCTAGCTTCAAAAACTGAAATTGATAGGGTACCTACGAGTGTGCTAGCTCAACGCACTGTGCGGCGTCGGATAGCCGAAGGACCCGGCATCTAGGGAAAATTATGAAATTTTAGAAATCCAAGATGGCGGCACAGATAGGGGAGTTTTGCTTTTCGGATAAAATTTGGGACATTTTTAAATGTTGTTTTAGGACACATGGCAACCCCGCAGCGAGTCGACTTCTATGGAGAGATGATGTCTCTTGACACAAAGTATTACCTGGTATGAAAATTTTCCCTGATTTTGGGGTATTTTTTGAGACAGGTCCTAAAAAGTGGGAAAATTTTTTTTCGACATTTCAAACAAAAGAATGATGAAAATCTGTCAAAAGTCATCTCCTTAAGGGTTTTTGGTGGTTTTTGTCAGAATTATCTGGCAACACCTCAGATCAGTTTTCTTAGGGAATAGTACAAGAAGAAGTCACCGAAGCTCTACATAATGTATGGACGAAATGTTTCTGCTACTAGGGTGAATACGTCAAAAGTATTAACAAGTAAAAATCCAAAATGGCGGCAGAGATAGGGGAGTTTTGCTTTTCGGAGAAAATTTGGGATATTTTTAAATGTAGTTTTAGGACCATTGCCCTCCCCACAGCCAGTCGACTTCTATGGAGAGATGATGTGTCTCAACACAAAGTATTACCTGGTATAAAAAAAATTCCCAATTTTAGGGTAATTTTTGAGATAAGTCCTAAAAAGTGGGACAATAATTTTTGGATATTTCAAACAAAAGAATGATGAAAATCTGTCAAAAACAATCCCCCTATTGATTTTAGGTGGTTTTTGTCAGAATTATCTGGCAACACCTTACGTGGGAAATTTTTTTTTCCTTAAGTTGAACAAAACAGTTATGAGCGTTGGTTCAAAATCATCCCCCAAAGGGTCCTAGGTGGTTTTTGTCAAAATCTCCTGGCAACACCATACATCGATTTTCATACTAAACCGTACTAAGGAACTCCTAGGTGTATGTAACCTGGGCTCTGTGTATATGTTAAAAGTATTTAAATAGGAAAAATCCAAGATGGCGGCCGAATTAGGATACTGTATCTATGATGACAATTTTAAGAACTTTTTAAAATTCAGTTTTGTGGCACCTATCATCCCTGCAACGAATTGACTTGTATTGAGGAATCGAAACTCTCGGTGCGAACTATTAACTAATTTTCATAGTAAACAGTACTAAGGAACTACTAGGAGAGTCACCTTACCTCTGTACAATGTATGGACAAAATGTTTCTGTCACCAAAGTGGATAAGTTAAAAGTATTTAAAAAAGGAAAATCCAAGGTGGCGGCCGAGGTTGAGTATTTTATCTCTGATGATAAATTTAGGAATACATTTTGGGATACCTTTGGCTTCCCTTCAGCGAGTCGACCTTTATTGAGCCATGGTAGATTTCGGTTCGAAATATTACCTAGGTTACAAATGTTCCCCGATTTTTGGGTAATTTTGCAAACCCAAAATGTGGGATTTGGACTGACCCAAGATGTTGGGATTTTTCGACAAACTATATATAAGAGCAACGGAGATCTATAATAAATATCATCTTAATAGTTTTATGCGATTTTTTGTAAAATTAGGTGGCCACACCATGCATCGATGTTCGTAAAAAGTTATATTTACTAAGGACCCACTAGAAGGACCGTGTCTCTGTACAATATATGGACGAAAAAGGATATATGGTATGAAAATTTCCCCGATTTTGGGGTAATTTAGAAGACAAGTCCAAAAAAGTGTGATTTTTTTTTTGATATTTCAAACAAAATAATGATGGATATCTGTCAAAAATCATCCCCTTATGGGTTTTTCGTGGTTTTTGTCAGAATTATTTGGCAACACCTTAGATCAGTTTTCTAAGGGAATAGTACAAGAAGAAGTCACCGAGGCTTTACATAATGTATGGACGAAATGTTTCTGTTACTAGGGTGAATACGTCAAAAGTATTAAGAAGTAAAAATCCAAGATGGCGGCCGAGTTAGGGTACTTTATTTAATTCAGTTTTCATGTACCCCATCGTCACTGCAGCGAGTTGACTTTTATGGAGCAGTGGAAACTCTCGGTACGAAGCACTACCTGGTCTAAAAATTTTCCCCGATTTTAGGGTAATATCGGAAAGAAGTAAAAAACGTGGGATATTTTGTTTCATCATTTTAGACCAAACAATGATGACGATCTCTCAAATAAATCCCCAAGGGGTCTTAGGTGGTTTTTGTCAAAATGAGCTGGCAACACCATACATCGATTTCCATTGTAAACAGTACTTAGGAACTACTCGAAGGAGTTACCTTGGCTCTGTACAATGTATGGACGAAATGTTTCTCACCAAGGTGTATATGTTAAAACTATTTAAAAAGGAATCATTCAAGATGCCGGCCGAGTTAGAGTACTTTATTCCCGATGACAAGTTTAGGGACGTTTTGAAACTCATTTTTGGGGTACTATTTTATTCCTTACAGCAAGTTGACTTCTATGGAGCAAAGACGTGAAGTATTATATAGGCTACAAATTTTCTCCGATTTTTGGGTAATTTTGCAAACCCAAAATGTGGGAATTTTTTTTTTCGAAATTTAAACATAAAAGTGACGGGTTTCTATAATAAATCTCATCTTAATAGTTTTATGCAATTTTTTGTAAAATTAGGTGGCAACACCGTGCATAGATTTTCGTAGAAAGTAATATTTATTAAGGACCCACTAAAAGTCTCTGTACAATATGTATATGGACGAAATATATCTGTCGTCATGTAATATATATGTCAGAAGTATCAAAACGGAAAAATCCAAGATGGCCGCCGAGGTTAACTTTGAACAAAATTTGGAAGATTTTTTTATTTTGGTACATGGTAACCATGCAGCGAGTCCGCTTTTATGGGATGGCATTGAATCTCAGTATTGCCAGCGCTAAAAACTATCCCCGTTTTTAATATTTATGATATTTTAATTAAAAGAGTGATGAGTGGTTATTATTTATCATAGGTCCTTGACCTGCGATAAATAATAACCCTAAGGCTTTTATCAAAATTATTTGAAAAACTTTATTACCGATGTAACAACTTACATCGGTTTTTATAGTAAACTATTAGGAGTTGACAATGTATGGACGAAATGTTTTTGCCACCCTGGTAGCTAAGCCAAAATAAAAAAAAATAAAAATTCAATACTGCGGCCGAAAACGTCAATTTTTCGCCTATACCTTAGTATAGGTGACCACAAATATCAAATTAGTTTTGGATTGTGACATAAAATCTCACACAAATATTGAACATTTTCGATGTCGAAATTATTTTCAGGAAAGCTGTTCTGAATAATTTGTGTCTTTGGATTTTGTAATTTGAAGATTGCAAAATGTGTAAAATTTTCAGCATGTAAATAATGAGAATAAGTTTTGTCCATACATTTCTTTCATTGTATGATATCCACGGTTTATTACCAGCTAAGGAGACTATCTTGGAATTCATTCCTGCTTTGGTGACTATTCTAAATGATAATCGTTCGTGTAAAAAATACAGTTATGATTTATATGTCCTTCACACTAGAAATTTTGGTCACAGATCTATTCTATAAGGTATAAAAGTTGGTTAGATAAGGTTCAGTTATATGACCTCTACATTAGAAATAGCGACCCCATACTAATTAGTATATAGAAAGTAGGGTTCGATATGATTTTGTATTTCGTATTCGGTTAGGTAGTAATATAATGGCCAATTATAATAGAAATTATAGCCACAGATCTATACGGTATGCAGAAGTGAATTAGGTTAGATTTCATATTCTGTTCTCTACATTATAAACTATGATCACAGACTAATATATTGTAAAGAAATGTAGGTTAGGTTTTGTATTGGGACCATTACAGTATAAAATGGCACTATAAGTCAATACGGTATACAAACAGTGAGTTAGGTTTTTTTTCACTCTTACAATAGGAATTGACATTTGTGGTATAGTTTCGTATCAAAACATGTTTCTGCAACCAAGATCGAAAAGATAACCTTCACCATAAAAAAATCAGCTAAACCGACCCACACGCAACCTAGACGGTTTTGTTTTTCTTTATTTCCTTTACAATAGAAATTATGGTCAAAGATATATAGGTATACAGAGAGGTAGGTTAGGTTAGATTTTGTATTGCTACTCAGTAGTAATTATTGCTTCAGACTATTAGTATACTGAATAGTAAGATGAGGTTAGGTCTATAGACAGGAAAATATGGAAATTGTGGTCACAGATCAATAAGGTACACAGAAACGTGGGTTAGGTTAGGTTTCGTATTATGATCTCTGCATCAGAAACTGTGAACCGAAATTGATATAGTATACAGAAAGGTAGGTTAGGTTAGGTTTTGTATTGCGACTCTTACAGTAGAAATTATGCCCTCAGAATAATATAGTAAACAAAAAGGTAGGTTAGGTTAGGTTTCGTATTATGATCTCTACATTAAAAACTTTGACCCCAGACTAATATAGTATACAGAAAGGTAGGTTAGGTTAGGTTTTGTATTGTGACCATTACAATACAAAGTTTCGCCACAGGATGGTACACGTGAAACAAAAATTAACTGTTACAATAGGAAGTCACCTAATCGTATCAAAACAGACAACTCTAACAACAAAAAGAAAACCGTCTTCACAAAAAAAATCAACGACAACGCCTCGCGGGCCTCTTGAGGCCCGCGCACACACGCACCCTCTAGTTTATATTATAAACGCGAATGTTTGTGAGCATGGATGGATGTTTGTTACTCTTTCACGCAAAAACTACTGAACGGATTTTGATGAAACTTTACTGTAGTATAGCTTATGCATCTTTATAATATTATTAAGATGTTTTGAACCATATTACTATGGGTTTCGGCTTATAGTGTTATTACTTGTAAGACGCCAACCCTCCTGAATATTATTAAGACTTAACAACATGAAATATATATTAAACTTACCCCAGTGGCAGCAAACGGATGGCCAATAGAGAGCGAGCCGCCCCACAGATTCCATTTGTTCAGGTCGGGGGCTCCCACCTGTATAAAAAAAAATATCTAAGTCGCGACTTCAAATTCATATATACTACTAGCTGACCTGCGCAACTTCGTCTGTGTTTCATTTCTCCACCTTTTGCAATATTTTTCATTGAAGCTCCTCATAAGTATTCTTTTAAATCAGAGGTTCCCAAACTTTTATGTTTGCGATATTTTTCGGTTTTGGGTAGACCCCCCACCCATTCTTACCTGGTATTGATTTTTTGTAAATTTCTTTTTTTAAAACATAAAGTAAAAACAACAAGATGACTGCTGTCGTAGACCCCTGTGGGTCGATATAGACTCACTTTGAGAATCACTGTTTTAAATAGTTTCTCATATACCTTCCATGTTCAGTAAACTAAATTTGATTCCAGATTTAATTAACTACTAAATAAATATTATTAAATTACTATGGTATTATTTTATGTTCTGTTTTATGTTATTGTAACTATGCTGTTTGTTATTTTACTGTTACAATTATCAATCAATCAATCAATCAATCAATCAATCAATCATTGATAGCAGACTGACAGCTCTGAATACTTCACCTTCGATTGACGACCAAGATAAGTCTGCGCGAACCAATCAGAGTCCATTGCTTTCAAATTAGCCAGGATTTGTCCCTGTAAAAAATAGAAATAATCTTTATTCAAATAAACTTGAAATTAGCACTTTGAATAGTCTTTTTTTATTGTACCACTTATTCGGAACGCAGGCTAAGGACAAGAAGAACGAGCGAGAAACTTAAGTAAGAGAGTAAGTTGGTATTTGTGAGTTAATACAGTATTGTACTACTAAATTAACATTTTGCATTAATAAAAATATATCGCAAACACTTATTATTTTTTTTAATTGGTAGTAATGTGGGCTAACCCCATTGCTAGCAATATACCATATCAGGTTGACCACGCGGTTCCCCTGCAAACCATCGCGATAAATTCATGGTTAATTTGTCGATGGGCTAACTGACCTGACCTCATGCTCATCTTATCATACTCCACTGGTGCCCCGCCAGCGTAAACCATTAGCGCAGGCTACATTCAGGGTACATTTCATTATCATCCATAAAGAAAACATAGTCTAGCCTTTAGATACTATAAAAAATCCGCATATAGCCTCTCTTTGGGCCGGTATGCTTATAGTCTTTTAGAGACTACTGGTAGAGCCCACCAAGCTCCTCTCAGAAGCGCAGAAGCTCCCGGTCTCTTCACAGGCTTCACGGAGCGACCACAGAGAGTTTAGGAGGTTTTCTATATGTTGTAAGCCCAGAAACCTCCTGGTGTCTTCACAGGCTACACGGATGGACCTCACTGTTCCGAGGATTGTCTGTGCGTTCTAACTACTGATACTCATTCCAGGATCACGTAAGCGGTCGTTTCTTCCTCTTCAAAGAACCTCCGATATTACTGAAGTGTACTTACAGCGAAAGCTTCATGGATCTCCCAGGTGTCGATGTCGTTGATCTTCAGACCAGCTTTGTCCAGGATCTTGGGGATGCCGTATGTGGGGCCAAGCAACAGTTGGTCCACAGGGTCCTGTTAATATAATAATAATAATGTTGGACCATTCACTTTTACACCTGCTTTTACATTGGCTTTAACCATATTCATAACAATACTAGATATTAAGACAAACTTGCTTTTCCTAAGTATCATTTAGAAGTCAATGAATCTTTTGTCAAAAATCTACAATAAGATACCGAAGAATATACTGGAATTACCTTCAAATAAATTTAAAACATCAGTTAAATCATACTTTTGTACAAAGCCACTCTAAAAAAACTCAAACCACATAATAAAAAATATTTAATAATCTAACCCAAAAATGTCAAAGAAAAAAGTTTCATCGTTCTACACAAATTATCATCCCCTGTTTTATTTACCTCCCTAAGAATAACATTTTTACTTTGAATGTCATATTTATTAATAACTAGCTACTCGCCCCGGCTCCGCATGGGTGTACATGTATTATACATATAAACCTTCCTCTTGAATCACTATATATCTATTAAAAAAAACTACTTCAAAATCCGTTGCGTAGTTTTAAAGATTTAAGCATACATAGGGACAGACAGCGACAGCGATTTGTTTTATACTATGTAATAATGATTAATCAACAGCCTAAAACTAAGTTTCAGGCTTCTAGCATTAAAAATGAAAAAACCTTCCATACAAATTTCTCCCTTTTTATTCAAAAATGTAGCTCACGGTGTCTCCCTATCTGTGTACCAAATTTCATTTAAATCGGTTTAGTACTTTTGGCGTTAATGCGAGACAGACAGACAGAGTTACTTTCCCATTTAAAAAATTAGTAAGTAAGTAATGATTGTTACCTGGGCGACGTACGTGAAGTCCCTGAGGTAAGCCTTGGGTTTAAGGCCGAGCTCCTTGGCCTTGGCCTCGGGCATCAGCAAGCAAGCCGATGCGCCGTCGGTCTGTTTAAAATACATTTTATTTTAAATTAATTTAAACAATCACATTTTTACTGGATATATTGACGGCCTCAGTGGTCTAGTGGTTTAGTACACCGCTTTAATTCCGATAGTCGCGGGTTCGATTCCTCGCACGGTGCCATTTGTATTGCAGTCTATGTCCACAGTAATGTGAACTAATGATTCCATAGATAGCAATGTACCACAGTAATGTGGACTAATGTTCCCATTGCTAGCAAAACACCACGTCAGGTTGACCTCCACGCGGTTCACCCTGGAAACCGTCGTGATAAATTCCTGACGAATTTGCCATGATGATCGAACTGACCTGACCTTATGTTCATCTTATCATCCTCCACTGGTGCCCCGTCAACGTAAACCATTAGCGCAGGCGGGTGCACCATTCAAATATCATCCATAAAAAAATTAAAAACTAATATCAATGTTTTATACTAATCACATTGTCTTTAAACTATTGTTTTAGAATAACACGTTACTGTAAGAATAGAACAGAAAATCCTTTATTCAAATAAACTTACATTGAAGCACTCTTGAATAGTCATCGAATACTCACCGTTGCCTCAAAGTACATTTATGACTTGATAGTTTCAAGATGAACTTAGATAGTTTCAAGAAACTTAAAGACTGTACAAGTAGAAACTTACGCAATAAAAATAAGCTAATTTTATCTAAATACCGTCTACACAAAGCTAGTAATTCATTCTATGGTAGCGGTAGATAAAAAAAATTGTTATGACTATTCAAAAGTGCTTAAATTAAGTTTATTTGAATAAATGATTTTCTATTCTATTCACATCACATTTTTTTTTAATCTACCGTTCATTCAGAAACCTGTCTCATCACAAGAAGAACGAGCACGAAACTTGTGTGTTGCTCTTTTAAATAATTTAGTTGTTACATTTTAAGTCGAAGTGTGTGAATACAAACCACCAACTAGCATTAATTCTACTGTACAACTCGATCACAAAAATAAACTTTCTGCAGCTCATTTGCTTTTCCCATCTATTAAAAATAATACCATTAGTTGTAAATGGTGGACCAATTTACCATCCCCGATTCAAAATACTATTCAGTCAGTTTCGTCATTTAAACATCATTTTAAAAAATATTTATTAAAAGTATAAAAATCTTAAATGTGGCAGATAAATACAGTAGTTATATATACATATATATTGATTAAATAAATAAATATACTCAAGCTATATTATATTACACAAAAGTCTTTCTATCAACACTTTGTTATCCTTATATATTTTTCTTCTATTTATCACACATACTTATAATTCATCCATTTAACTCATTCTTCATTTTACATATTTAAATTTATCACGAATGCTATTTATTTTTTTCAAGTGGCTCCACTGAAAATCAGCGCTGTAGTGACACGCTGCGGCGCCAGCTGAGTGGAAGCCTTTTCAGCAGCGAATTATTAGTTTTTAAGTTTTCTTTTTTACTCTGTACTCTTTTTTATGCTGAATAAATGATTATTATTATTAGTTGCTCTGCTTGTTTGTCATACAAATTAATAAAAAAACTCACCAAGAAAGAAGCATTAGCAGCTGTGACTGTGCCATGTGGCTTCACAAAGGCGGGCTTCAGTTTAGCGAGTTGTTCGGGCGTAGATACACGTATACCGTTGTCCTTTTCGACCAGTCCATCCTTGCCGTCCACTGTATCATTTCATCCAAAATGTTTAATTTAATATTGCGATAAATTCTTGGTGAATTTGTCACGATGGGCTAACTGATCTGACTTCATGCTTATTTTATCATCCTCCACTGGTGCCCCGTCAGCGTAAACCGTAAGCGCAGGCGGGTACACCATTTCATTACCATCCATAAAAAAACATGTTTTTTTGTTTGTATATTTTGTTTACATTTACGAGTATGTTCCATAATAGGTCATATCTTATCTAGTTTTAGGGTCAGATAATTTTCTGTCGCACTTCGACCCACCTCATGTTCTGTATTTGCACCTGTCGCATTATTTATAAATAACTTTGAAGACATACTGATATTGTGATTTACTCAAAGAATTAAGTCATTCAAATAAATATAACTAAATAGCTGACCCGCACAACTTCGTTTTCATCATAATTATCATTATATTTCGTCCAATTTACATAATATCATTTTAAATTATAGCCTATGTGTTATTCTGATGTATAAGCTATATTACTGTAAAGTTTCATCAAAATCCGTTCAGTAGTTTTTGCGTGAAAGAGTAACAAATATCCATCCATACTCACAAACTTTCGCATTTATAATATTAACTAACTACTCGCCCCGGCTTCGCATTACATGTATGGTGTACATGTATTATATATATAAACCTTCCTCTTGAATCATTCGCTCTATTAAAAAAACCGATTCAAAATCCGTTGCGTAGTTTTAAAGACTTAAGCATACATAGAGACACAGCGACAGCGCCTTTGTTTTATATTACGTAACTAGCTATTCGCCCCGGCTTCGCACGGGTGTACATGTATTATGTATTATTATATATATAAACGTTCCTCTTGAATCATTCTATCTATTAAAAAACCGCTTCAAAATCCGTTGAGTACTTTTAAAGATTTAGGCATACATAGGGACGGACAGACAGCGACGACTTTGTTTTATACTATAATAATGAAACCATCAATTTATCACTTTAAATCACGGTAAATGTCATAAGGGAGCTTACCCTTGACCGGTATCAGGTCTGTGAAGTAGCCTTTCTGCTGGGCCTGCGCGGCGAGGGTGTGAGAACGTAGGGAATATTCGTCTTGTTCCTTTCTGGAAGCACCGAAGGCGGCTGCGAGGCGGTCAGCACTGTGACCCATCGTCTCCCCGGATGAGAACTCCGCTACTGCTGGCAGCTAAGGATATGATAGCTTTATTAGCTGATTCGTTGTGTTCATATATAAATTAATCAGTTATAGACCGAACCTTGTAAATTAAAGTAATAATATCTTTATAAAAATAATAGGTATTGTTGGTAAAAGGGTAAAAATTTATAGTTGTCTTTTTTATAGCTGGCCTTCTTCTATGTCTACTAAGCCTAAATCCAGACGAGTACTCATGAAACACGAAGAAGAAGGCCAGGGGTTCGATTCCTCTCACTGCGCTAACATTTTAATAGAATGTTTATTTGTATCGGTCTGGGTGTTTTCTATGTATTATATATATATATATTTACAAAAAAATGTATTTATACCAGTTGTCTAGTGCTCACAATACAAGCTCTCCTTAACTTGAGCATAGGCATTCTGTCTTGTCAAGGATTATTATTATTTCTTACCTCAGGTGAAAATAAGTCAGACCTAGAAGCCAGTAAAGAGAGAAGTTTTGCGGGGCGTCTTAGTTTTTTTATTGGTAGATAATGGAGTGTTGCACCCGCTTGAGCTTGCCTTAGCTTGGGGATAGCCACTAGATGGCGCTGAATTGTGTAGGAATGTTATTATTACTTACTTCAGGCGAAAAGAAATCAGGTCTGATAGAATAGAAGCCAGTAAGGAGAGACGCTGTGCAGGTGTCTTAGCTTGGGGATAGTTACTATATAGCGCTAAATTGTCTAGGAATGTTATTATTACTGTTATTACTTACTTCAGGCGAAAAGAAGTCAGGCCTGATAGAAGCCAGTAAGGAGAAACGCTGTGCAGGCGTCTTAGCTTGGGGATAGCCACTAGATGGCGCTGAATTGTCTAGGAATGTTATTACTTACTTCAGGCGAAAAGAAGTCAGGCCTGATAGAAGCCAGTAAGGAGAAACGCTGTGCGGGCGTCTTAGCTTGGGGATAGTTACTATATAGCGCTGAATTGTCCAGTATTATTATTGTTATAACTTACCTCAGGCGAAAGGAAGTCAGGCCTGATAGAAGCCAGTAAGGAGAGACGCTGTGCGGGCGTCTTAGCTTGGGGATAGTTACTATATAGCGCTGAATTGTCCAGGATTATTACTGTTATGACTTACCTCAGGCGAAAGGAAGTCAGGCCTGATAGAAGCCAGTAAGGAGAGACGCTGTGCGGGCGTCTTAGCTTGGGGATAGCCACTAGATGGCGCTGATTTGTCTAGGAATGTTATTATTACTATTATTACTTACTTCAGGAGAAAAGAAATCAGGCCTGATAGAAGCCAGTAAGGAGAGACGCTGTGCGGGCGTCTTGGCGCGGTTGACTCGCAACAACAGCGACCTCATCTTGCGCGAGTGCCTGATGGGCACATCTGACATGAACTCCACTCCTCCAGCCACTATTATGTCGTATACACCTGCCGCTATCATGCCGATGCCTGTTGAGAATTGATAATATATGATCTTCTTGCTTAACACATTCTCCGCTAACAAGTTTTTTCATAAAATGTAAAAAAACTCTTTGTGTTTAAGTTCTATACATCTATGCATATAAATAAAATTGGAGTGTCTGTTTTTAATATTGAAATAACCGTTTTTTACTACATGCATATGAATATAAATACGGTATATACACCAAAATAACAATTTTTATAATTTTTGTCTGTTTGTTCCGGCTAATCTCTGAAATGGTTGGACAGATTTTGACTAGTAGCCTAAGTTACTCCTTATTACATAAGCTACCTGCCATTAAAAGTCCCGTCAAAATCGGTCTAGCCATTTCAGAGATTAGCGGGAACAAACAGACCGACAGACAGACAGACAGACTAAAATTGTAAAAAATGTTATTTTGGTGTCTGTCTGTCTGTCTGTCGGTCTGTTTGTTCCGGCTAATCTCTGAAATGGTTGGACAGATTTTGACTAGTAGCCTAAGTTACTCCTTATTACATAAGCTACCTGCCATTAAAAGTCCCGTCAAAATCGGTCTAGCCATTTCAGAGATTAGCGGGAACAAACAGACCGACAGACAGACAGACAGACTAAAATTGTAAAAAATGTTATTTTGGTGTATGTACCGTATTTATATTCATATGCATGTAGTAAAAAACGGTTATTTCAATTTTAAAAACAGACACTTCAAATTTTATTTATATGTATAGAAAAAAATTAACACAACGCCATCTAGTCCCACGTTAGCGGGGGAAAGGGATTGTTAGTAATGTGGACTCTTAATCACATTACTAGCAATGTACTATGTCAGATTGACCGCCACGCGGTTCCCCCTGGAAACCATCGTTATAAATCCATCCTATTTATCACGATGGGCTAACTGACCTGACCTCATGATCATCATCCTCCACTGGTGCCCCGCCAGCGTAAACCGTTAGCGTAGGCCGGTGCACCGTTCCATTATCATCCATAAAAAACCCACGTTAGCAAAGCTTGTGTTATGGGTACTAAACAACTGATACAAATACTTATATCTTTTCTGTGTAAATACATACATAATATATATAGAAAACACCCAGACTGATACAAACAATCATACTCATGAATACAAATGTTTGCACCGTGTCAGGAATCGAAATTGGAATATACATTGGAAATAAAGTGGTGTGCAACCGCTCGACCACTGAGACAGTCCATCATTGCCATCATATTGCCATTCAATTAAAAATTACCAGTTGTGATGGCTTGGTTGGATGAGATGCAGGCCATGGTGACGGTGTGTGCTGGTGTCTTGTCACTGAAACCGGCCGCTAGGGCTGCCTCGCGTCCGATATTCGATGTTTTCACTTCTTGGATGACAGTCCCATAGACTATGTAGTCAATAAGATCCTTTGATATACCAGTCTTCTGTAGGAGACCCCTGTATGTAAGATAAAAGATAAAGAAGCCTTTATTTCTGTACTATTATACATTTTTTTTTGTTACATTCATGTTCATTCATATTATTATATTATACTATAAATTTATTATTATTATATATATTTTTTTTTATTTTTTCGACCCCTGTATGTAGCAAAGATATAAGAATTCAACAGATTGAAAGAAAGAAAGAACAAAAGAAAAAATATTTATTCAGTGCTTTTCAAGGATGTTACAATATAAAAAGAACAATGCAGCTGTTTGTTTTTCTTTATATTGTAACATCCTTGAAAAGCACTGTACAGCATTACAGTAGTCCGTAAAATACTAAGAATAATATAGATGTTGCTAATATTGTGGATAATGGATGTTAAATTCATAAATAATAAATAATTATATAAAATCGTAATAGCTATTGTTGCAAACTCTTTGCAGATTATTATATATTTATTGTTCTACTAATTTTAAATGTATTTATTTTATAGAATTGTCTTATTTTTTATTTGCCTTGGTATTTGCTTTATATAATGCATACAGTCTATTCATACTATCGCCCACAGCTGTAATGTTTGTCTCTAACTAACTTTCTAACTCAAAAAAAAAATAATAATAATCTCAGGACAATTCACACAGCTACATCTAGTCCTAAGTTAAGCTAGCTAAAGCTTGTATTATGGGTACTAGATAACTGATACAAATACATAATTATTTTTTTTTCGTAAATACATACATATTATACATAGAAAATACGCAGACTGATACAAACAATCATACTCGTGAATACAAATGTTTGTGCCGTGCGAGGAATCGAATCCGCGACTATTGGACGTAAAGCGGCGAGCTGGACCGCTATACCACCGAGGTCGTCAAAAAACTATTGACAAAATAAAAAACACAAACTTCTTGGACCTTCAAATATCTCTTTAATCTTTGACTTACAGCAAAGCATGTCTCGCCAATTCGTGAGGCATCATCCTGGAGTAGTCGGTGAAAGATACAAGGAAAGGTGTTCTGACTCCATCAACAAGCACTATGTTCTTGCCGGTGCGGTCCGGCAAGGTCTTCTTCTGTTGGAGAGCTGCACCCACACTGAGAGCTCTTCGTGCTGTATCTATAATAACAAAAATTATATTAATCATACAACACCTGTAGGAAGGGTAGAAATTAATGAATAAATAAAATAGACCATCAACAAATAAAAATAATAAACTTAATTTTTTGAATAGTTATTGTTTTTTTTTTAAAACAACCGCTCATTTGAGAAGCTATCTTCTTAGAAATAGAATCTTGTGGGAAGAAAGTTATCTATGTTACAAACATATTTATAAAAATAGAATGTTTCACTTAAGAAACTTAAATAATAGGTTTTAGGAAAGTGGTTCTTAACCTTTTTTATACCATATAGCCTTTATAACATTTTTAAGTTAATTTGCTTATTTCATTAAATTTGACAACAAAATACTAGATTTTGTTGTCAAATTTAATTGACAACAAAATTGAATTTAAATGGCCCAGAGATAAAAAGGTTAAACTTGTGTCAAGTCCATTTTCAAATTGTCCCCTTTAAAAATCAATTTTCAAATGTGAGGCCCATGCCCCTCTGTGGGGCACATTGGATAACACTGATCTAGAGTTGTTTAGTACCAATAAATCTATTTGTTTAGTTCCAAAAAATCTATATGTTTAGTACCAATAAATCTATTTGTTTAGTACCAATAAATCTATTTGTTTAGTACCAAAAAATCTATTTGTTTAGTACCAAAAAATCTATTGGCTTAATACCAAAAAATCTGAATGTATTTAAGTATTTCAATCAGTTGACAGAAATACTTTTATTTGACAAGAGTGCATTTAGATAATAACATACATTTTCGCAAGTAGCTAACAAGATATGCCTTTATGTTACTTAAACGAGAAAAAAGCTGAAATTCCAGGATCTGAAGTAGGACTTTACTTTCCTGAAACGGCAATATATGAGTGACATTGTGGTGTGACATGATAATATGATGTCCGTAGTAATTAGGAAAACCCATTTTCCTTTCAATGGAAAGATCTTATATGCTATTTGAAATATTTAAAATAAAAATTATTGGTGATATTACAGGACAAATTCAAAGACAATGTTAGATAGCACAGCTTGTTAGTCATGGACTGGCATTTTTAGGAAGAGCTTAGTTGGAATTATACTAAAAAGTTTTACTCCTTAGTCTCATAAAAAAAAAATGGATGTAATTGTGATTTACATAATTTGCCTTAAATTGAGATACTAAATGTAGCAAGTTACAAGGTCATATGTATTAATGAAAGGAGCAGAAACTATAATTTGTGGAAGAATAGACCTTTCTTTTTCTTTTAAGTAAAAAAAAAACATATAAAGCCACTTAAATTACAGTGTTCTAAAATTAAAATTAAAAAACATTATTAATCTTGTTATTTAAATAAATAAATAAAATTCTTAGAACAAGAAACTAATAGGGATTTTTCACAAACTTTTTTTTTATAACCTAATTGAGAAAAAAAGAAATACACTTGGGATATAAGAAATGCATACTTTTCTCTATTATTATAACTGTTCAATAATATAATTAATTTTCAATGTTAAATTGGAAGACATCCATCAAAAACAACAATTTGTACCAATGCCAACTCAATATAAGTCCAAAGTTTAATGAATTTGAATGTAGTTTTAAAGTTAAAAAATTTTAGTTACCATATTAGGTAACGGGACAAATTTGTTATTTTTTTTTAAATGAATGATTGTAGATTTATTCAGAATAATTTATCTAAAATTTATGTCTAAGATTATGAAGAATTGTATTACCAAACTTAGCGGTTGTAGAATGAGCCTTTATGAAGGATTTCGCTACTTGAGACGCCATAATTGCTCCTTTCCTCTTAAAGACTACTATTAAGCAAACGAAGGTTTATTAATACAATAAATTCTATTTTATATAATAGAATTTTTAAGTTTAAACTTGTAAAAACTAAATGATATTGGACTTTAACCTCTTTTTAATTGAATATGTATTGGATTCATGAATTGACATTGACAGTTCCTTTGACAGCTACTCTGTGCAGGGGTTAATAACTACGAGTACACAATGAATTACCTAAGACTTATCAAAGTTGTAACATACTTCAAAGCCTTATTATCACTTTAAGTTGATTATAAAAAAATTATATTTTCGATTAAAAAATGTTTGATTAATTTTCATTAAAATTCAGAAGTATTGAAATGATTAACAGCCTTTATCATCGATTTCAATCACGATGATGTTGATTTTGTCAATTAGTTTTTTTTATTATGGCTAGGGACAAAGTGCATTTGCCAAAAAGTATTAGTAAATATAAATAAGCACAGTTTCAAATAAATCAAATGACGCAAAAAGTTTTAAATAAAATTACTACTTTCCTAACCCTGTGTTTGCTTTTGGTGATAAAATTGTTTCTAACCGTGTCTTGTTCCTTTAGTACCATGTAAACGTTAAAGTGTAACAGACAAATATATATGTTTAATAATATTGGATAGTATTAGTATGTTTTGCATCTTAGCATTATTATATTTCCTTAGAATGCAATAATAAAACGCGACAGGAAGTTGAGATTGGGGGGTAGTTAAAATTTTTGGCTGTAACTTTTTACCATATTCTAGAATCATCGCCTACCATTTGTTATTAGCCACGTGATTTAAAACATTTTCATTTTAATTTAATTATTTAAAAAGAAATATATTGATGCGATATAAATGTTTAAAGATATATTTTTGTTTATTTGCTAAAGTAATTATTCGGTAAGTTTATTAATCATATTATAATTATATATATAGAATATATGGCGCCACGTAGCTTAAAATAAATTTAGTATGTTCATAAATTAGATATAAGCCTTCATTATATGATTAGAGATGTTAGTTATTGAACAAACATTTTTTATGTAATTTGTCTGACAAATCAACCATTGCCCCATCTGATGGTAAGTGGTAATCGTCGCCTATATACGCCATGTTAAGATGATTCCATTCGTGCGTTGCCATTCCAAAGGACTTAGATGACGTTTCAAATACAACGAAATATATTTTATGCCACATTGTTATTTATTTTTAGTGAGTTTGTGTGTGATTAATTTAAAATAAATAAAACGTGGTAAGATCCCGCGATTTTTCCTAATCTGCTACATTATCATGACTTGGATTATGAATCTCATCTGGTTGAGTGCCTCCCTCACCTCCTGATGGTATTTTTTTTTTGAGGGGTTTGGGCTATTGCCAGTTGATTTAGATCTGTAGCACTGCGACCTACATAGATCTATTGTGCTCGCCCTCTATCAAGGGTCGTTACTTAATAATAATAATAATAATCTCAGTACAATTCACACAGCGCCATCTAGACCCAAGTTAAGCTAGCTGAAGCTTACGTTATGGGTACTAGATAACTGATACAAATACATAAATAATTTTTTTTTTCGTAAATACATACATATTATACATAGAAAATACCCAGACCGATACAAACAATCATACTCATGAATACAAATGTTTGTGCCGTGTGAGGAATCAAACCCGCGACCATTGGATGTAAAGCGGTGTGCTAGACCGCTATACCACCGAGGTCGTCACTTAGACCCGTCAGAGACAAGAATTGGAGGATATTGTTAGGAGCGATGGTTTTTATCTCTTCTGGATAGAGTGTACTTTCCAGAGGAGATATTTCGTTTCTGCACGAGCGAGCTACAACCACATGTAGAGGCGTTTCTTCAGCTTCAAAATCTACAGATCCCCTGATTTTTGCAATGATTTTATAGAGTGTGTACTTTCCAAAGGAGATATTTCGTTTATGCATGAGTGGGCTACAACCATATAAGATGTGTAGTGGCGTTTCTTCAGCTTGCCACAATCTATGGCTCCCTGATTGTAGCAATAGTGTTATAGAGTATGTACTTTCCATAGGAGATATTTCGTTTATGCATGAGTGGGCTACAACCATAGATGTTTTCTCTTCAGCTTCAAAGCTCTTTATGGTAACAATTATTTCTGGTGTTTCAGATGCAACGAATATGACTGTCATATACATAATAGTATTGTCTTGTATCCTGACATGCGGTGGACAGTTCGTAGACAATATCCAAGTGTACGAGAGAGACTGTCTGGGCGAGGACAAGTTTCCTTGCCAGAGTGGAGGGTGCATACTTCAGGCGAAGTACTGCGACGGGAATGTGGATTGTCCTGATGGCTCAGACGAGCATTTTTGCCGTACGTATTTTATTTAGACAAATAAATCAAATTGAAGTATCTACTTGTAATTTCAAATTCTGTTGATTTGAAATTACAAGTAGATACTTCAATTTGCATTATTCACTTCCATTCTTTTCACTAAATGCATATGAAAGTGCAAAGGTACTAGAAACCTTCATCATCATCATCATCATCATCGCAGCCCGGAAGACGTCCACTGCTGGACATAGGCCTCCCCCAAAGATCTCCACGACGATCGGTCCTGCGCTGCTCGTATCCAATGCCTTCTTATAATTAATATAACTCTTAATATATAACTCTTAATACTAGAAACCTTATTAATATTATAAACGCGAAAGTTTGTAGGTATGGATGGATGTTTGTTACTCTTTCACGCAAAAACTACTGAACGGATTGTGACGAAACTTTACAGTAATATAGTTTATACATTAGAATAACACATAGACTATAATTTTAAAAGATATTGTGTAAATTGGGCGAAATATAATGATTAATGTTATGTAAGTGTGATGCAGAAGATGCGCGGGTCAGCTAGTGAGATATATATACTGGATATCCCGGCAAAACAATGTTTTTTTTAATAGCGATATTCTTTTATATGGGAAAAGATTTGTGGGAGACTTAAATTAACAATGAATCATTGTTAATGTATATATCGTATCAACAACTAAAAATATTGATAGAAGATCGTGGAATGTGGCGAGAGCTCCACCGACAAGAGAACAGATCTTAAATTAAGAATGAATTCTTGTTAATATATATTCTTCTCTCTTCTCATTTTTCTTTATATATATGTATGAATCCTTGCTATTTCCTTAACAAGGATTGGCATGCTATAATCAATATAGAACCGCTATGCATTCAATCTCTTTATAATCATATATTGTCAGCGTTATGAATTTTAAGTTAGAATTTCTCTATATTCTTTATTACCATTTTTTTGCAGTAGAATAACCGCCTTATCATTGTAATTTACTTTACAGCGGACCATGTACCAGACGCAAAACTTTGCAATCAGAGCCACCAGTACTTATGTGCTGATCATAAGAAATGTATACCCAACTCTTGGATATGCAACAACCAGACGGAGTGTGATGATGGCAGTGATGAAGTTAACTGCACAGCTATACCAGATGCCAAGGAAAATGTAAGACAATAGACGATAAGTCCTGATAATTTTGACGGCCTCGGTAGTCTGGCGCTTTACTTCGATGGTCGCAGGTTCGATTCCTCGCACGCTGCTAACATTTGTATTCATGACTATAATTGTATAGGTTTAGGTGTTTTCTAAGTACATTATGTATCTCTTTAAAAAAAAAAACAAATCTATGTATTTATATCTGATGACAAATCTATGTATTTATATCTGTGGGACTAGATGGCGCTGTGTTAATTGCTAGACAATTAACACAGCGCCATCTAGTCCCACATTAAGCATAGCTTGTGTTATGGATACTAGACAACTGAACACAAAAATTATAATTAATTAGACAAATTGTCTAGCAATTAACACAGCGCCATCTAGTCACACGGTTATTTATTATTATTATTATGAGAACTGTTAACAAAGATGTTATTTTCAGTCCACTTGCATGGGCTACAGCTGTGACGGCAACAAATGCATATCGTTGTTATGGGTCTGCGACGGAGTCTACGATTGTCTCGACAAGACTGACGAATATTCTCAGGATGCATGCAGTAAGTTACTTTACTTTTATTATTTACTAGCATTTGCCCGTGGCTTCGCTCGCGTTAATTTATCTCTTTAGGGGTGGAATTTATCAAAATCCTTTCTTACGGGATGCCTACGTCATAGTAGCTTTATGCAAACAAAGTCTCATGCATGAAGCTTCCCCTAAGAAAGGATTTTGATAAATTCCACCCCTAAGGGGATAAATTAACGCGACCGAAGCCACGGGCAAAAGCTAGTTATATAATAAACTTAATTAAAGGGCATTTTTCACATTCGGAATACCGGGTAATATTTACAATATAATTCTCAAGAATTCAAAAAAATTACTGAGTAATGACAGTTTGATAGGCTTTCCAGCCAATAGACAGACAGCAAATAGGTGAATAGCGCAAATAGATACTATCAAGATCAAACAGCTTAGCAGAACATTATATACAAAAAGAAAAAAAAAAAAAATGTTTGCCAGTACAGCTACATCTTGTTAACATTATAAAAGCGAAAATTTCGGTCTGGTTTTTTTCTATGTGTAATATGTAAGTATTTAGAAAAAATATATATTTAAGTTAGTTATCTAGTACCCATAACACAAGCTTTATATAGCTTAACTTGGGTTTAGATGGCGCTGTGTGAATTGTCCTGAGATTATTATTATTATTCAATATCACACGCATGGGTCTGGTATGAGATGTTCCTAATATAAAAATAAATCTTTCAGAGCACTCTCTCCTAGCACATTCGATATATGATGGGTCATCGTGTGAAGAGATCAGCGTTATCAGACAGAGTTACCGGTGTATCGACTCGTCGTACTGTTTGCCAGCTAATATGATGTGCGACGGCCTGGTGGACTGCAGGGATGGTAGTGATGAGGGTCCGTTTTGTGACAAATGTAAGTTGATTTACACACTTTAGTCTACTTTATTGAAACTAATTCCAATCCATTCACACAGACTTGTGCCATTGCCAACCTTTTTATACTCTTCAGTTATAGAAACAAAAGAAAATGTTTATTTCAATACACATATTGAATTTTTAAATAAATAAAAGTTATCCAACACAGTTGGGGTACAAATTTGCAGTACAGAAAAGTCCGCTCAGCATATGCCGTGACAAGATGCCACGATGCTCGTGTTATGCTTCCTTCATCTTAATCCTTACTGGTTTGACATTCTTGGACGATACCAACAATTTCATAGCCAGGTAAAAATGTACTAATAGAACGTTTAGTAAGCCAGAAGCATAAAGAACACAAACATTGCAACATTAAACAAAAAAGTTGTATAACACAATTGGGGCACTAATTTGCAGTACCGAATAGGTTTCCATTCAGCATATGCCGTGACGAGGTGACACGACGCTCGTCTTCTGCTTCCTTCATCCTTATCCATATTAATAGTGTGTGCAAATATAATATACAAACTCTGATTTGACATTCTTGGACGATACCAACAATTTCATAGCCAGGTAAAAATGTACTAATAGAACGTTTAGTAAGCCAGAAGCATAAAGAACACAAACATTGCAACATTAAACAAAAAAGTTGTATAACACAATTGGGGCACTAATTTGCAGTACCGAATAGGTTTCCATTCAGCATATGCCGTGACGAGGTGACACGACGCTCGTCTTCTGCTTCCTTCATCCTTATCCATATTAATAGTGTGTGCAAATATAATATACAAACTCTGATTTGACATTCTTGGACGATACCAACAATTTCATAGCCAGGTAAAAATGTACTAATAGAACGTTTAGTAAGCCAGAAGCATAAAGTACACAAACATTGCAACAGTAAACAAAAAAAGTTGTATAACACAATTGGGGCACTAATTTGCAGTAACGGATAAGTCTCCGCTCAGCATATGCCGTGACGATGTGCCAAGACGCTCGCATTCTGCTTCCTTCATTCTAATCTTTACTAATAGATTATCTGTGCTAATAGTATGTGCAAATATAGTATTTAAAAACTGGTTTGACACTGTTGGAAAATACCAACAAGTACTACGTTTGGTAAGCCTAAAGAAACTATAGTACCTGTTTTTTTATAAATAATAAAAGTTATAATACCATAAATTTGCATTAAAGATGTTATCTCTACAGTTCCTGCTACTCGATCTTTAACCTTAAATGTTTTGAAGTTCTTACTACTATAAAGCATACAGACATTTTGTTTAAATTCGTCAGTTTTCGTTTTTCGAGTATTACATGCAAAGATGATTTTTTTTTTCAGGGAACAACACCTGCGACACCAACCCATGCAAAGGGAACAATACAAAATGCATCCCAGAACGTTTCGGCCCCTCTTGCATATGCACTGAAGCGCCTCTCCACAAAACTTACAACTTCACGACAAACCAGTGCGAGGATGTTGACGAGTGCGCCCAGGCTAGACCACAATGCTCGCATGTATGCCACAATAAAGACAGTCGATTTGAGTGCAGTTGTGATGACGGTTATACTCAAGATCAGTTTGGATATCTCTGTTATGCTTCAGGTAAGTAATAATAACTTTGGAAAATTCACTATGCGTCATCAAGTCCCAAGTTAAGCAGAACTCATTTTATGGGTACTATACAACTGATAGAATACCTTTTTCTTATCATCATTATATCTTACCCATTATTTAAAAAAAAGAAAGAAAGAAAGAAAAAAGAAAGGTTGTCCTTTCCCTTGCCATCCATCCACGTTCATGTATACCTTCTTTAAGATATGGTCCTCGCTCCTCCGCGTAACATGCCCATACACGTGATTCTTATTGTGTGTACCTAAAAATATATTTAAGACTTTTATTTCTAGGCCCAGAAGCATTATTATTTTACAGTACTAAAAATGAAATAGGATATATAAAAATCAAAACAAAGGAGCAAGTCACTGTGGGAACTGGAATTAAACAGGTGAAAGTTCTAATTGTAATAATTAAGAAATAATAATACTCCAAAGTAATGTCTCTGAAATATTAAATAACAAAGATGCCGATAAACAATGTTTTGAAATAAATTACATATATCCATAAAAGTAATAATATTCTATCACTTCATAACGTGGTTAAAGATAAATTTATTGCTCCTACCCGTAAATCTTAGTATTTTATTAATATGATAAACGTGGAAGTTTGTGAGTGTGGATGAGTGGATGCATATTTATTACTCTTTCACGCAAAAACTACTTCTTTGCCGATACCTCAAGGTTGAGGATTCTTCCAACCATTATACATTTTTCCAAATGATCTGCTTTCTGACGAGCCACGTGGCCAAAAAAAGCTGAACGCTGAAACCACATAGTAGGAAGACGGGTACCCAGTTGTTCCAATATAGATGCATTAGTGCGGCGCTCCGTCCATGAAATGATTAACATTTTTGGAGCAAAAGACTAGTGAATGGATTTTAATAAAACTTTACAGTTTATTCATCAGAATAACACATAGACTATAAATTTGACGCGGATGAAAATGTTGGCATAGGTAGTAGTTGATAAACCTTTACAAACTAACTTAATTCGAAAGAGAGCGAATTAGAGACGTCCACCTCGTGCCATCTTGTATTAAAATGTATATATGTTAATTTTTGTTATAATTTTAGGCGCATGGTGTGGCGTACGATGGGAAGTATTTGTTCTGGGTGGAGACAGCGCAAGGACACCAGGCTATCATGAGAGCTGAGCTAGAAAACGTGCAAGAAACTAAAGAGGTAGTAACCTCACAATTTTTCATACTATGGCTGTATACGTTTGGTTCTGTATACCTACACTTACGATCGTTGGAATCTGTAGTTGTTGGCTAAAATTTTGAATTTTATTTTTGCATATGTAACTTCTAAGCAATCCATGCTTATTCTTGCGTTTCAAGTGTTAGATTATTATTATTATTGAAGTTCGGAATGGCTTTATTTATCATTCGGAAGTTCATTATAGGTAAATGACATGTACATGTAAGTCTTTTTAGAGAGCTTTAAAGCTTCACTGGACAAAATGTATTAAAATAATTTGTTACTTTATTTATTTTGCAAGAAGATATTTTATTATGTAGTCAGTTCATAGAATTAGCATTTGTTAAATATTGTTAAAGTTTGTTTATATTATTTTTAGACACTTGAAGTAATTCTTCATCATGATGGCTTTCGGGAAATAGTAGCATTCCTTTTCATTTTTATCCATTAAAAGATATCCCGTCTACCCCGCCAGGTGCTAGTAGGTCTGGGTATAGAGGAGCCAGGCGATATCGCAGTGGACTGGCTGGGCGGACACATCTATTTCAGCGACGCCGAGCGCGGAATCATCTCTGCCTGCCGCACGGACGGTTCTATGTGTACTATACTGAAAACGCATACAAAGAATCCCAGATTCGTCACATTAGCTGTCAGATATGGGTGAGTTTATTTTATTATTAATTGGCCGCGAAAATGGGAAAGAGCCTAACGGAATGTCCCTTGTCCCGTGGAAGATCGGTAAATTTAGGGTGTTGGATGCCACGTGTGTTTTTGGCACCAAGTTATGTATCTAGACCGTCCTCTCGTACTGGCCTGGCACCAACGCAGGCGGCAATTTTAAGTGCCGTAGGAACTCGAATTTTGTCGACTTGTAGAGGTTTTTACTATTTGCCGTGAAAACGTTGGCCCCATGGAACCCAGATGCCAAAATGTTTTTAATATCTCGTTAAAAACATTTTGGCATCTGGGTTCCATGGGTAGAACGGCTCATCGAGGTTCTAGTGACCTGAGAGCTAGTTGCTATTTTGCATTACAAAACAATTTATACATGGATATATACAAGTTTGCATTTAAATTATTTTGCTTTCATTTAAATTAATTCTGTACCCTGCAAATCTTTTATCTTCCCCAAATTCATTAATTGGTTGAAGCCAAATCACATTTAACAAAGCAAACTGCTTGGTAATTAATTCGTTACCACAGTTCTACTTCCTTAGATAAAATTGTGTCAGTAAAATACAAAATGTCTCATATTTACACTTTCCAGGACAATGTATTGGGCAGACTGGCACCACCGTCCTGTGATCATGAAAGCGCGGATGGATGGTTCGCATGCTGAGTTGCTAGTTGATAATCTGCAGGGCTTCGCAACTGGCCTTGCAATAGACGTGCCTAATGGACGACTTTACTACGTCGACCACACGATCAAGATCATCAAGATTGACGATAAGCAGATATACGTGAGTTATAGGTTAACGTAGAAATTTGCAGCATAAAGCTGATACGAGATTTGCTACTTTAATTGTATGGTATTTAGAATAAAGATCAATATACAATCCATACTATCGAAACAAAAGTGCCATAAAAATAATATTGAACAATGTGATAGGAAAATAGGTGTTTAAAACCTTTTCAAGGATTCAGTATATCTGAAGTTCTTCAGAAATATTTTTTTTTATATTAACAGTCATTATTTGAAGAACCATTCCACCATCCGTACTCAATTGCCGTATTCGAGAATACAGTGTTCTGGAGCGACTGGACATCCCAGTCCATTCAGACCACGGATAAGTTACACGGCAGCGCTCAGAAACGTGGAAAATTGGTCACCCTTGACAATCCTGTTTTTGGTACGTATTGTGCATTATAATTGTTAACCATGAAGCTTTTTGATAATTATATTATATTTTGTAATATAGTTGTCTATTTATAAAAAAAAAACTTGTCCAGAGAGCCTGGGTGCATTGTTGTGAGAAATAAAATAATTTTTGTAATTATATTTTGTTCAAAATCTACCCTGTAACATCGTAAGCACAGATTATTATATTAGAGTCCGTTAGTTTTCTGTTCCCGCGCCTTTGCCTCCCCTCCCTTAACTAGTACTGAACGGACCGTACGCCGGCCATGACGCGCGCGCATTGTGTTGTGAATTAAAATAAATTAGAGCTGTGAAACCTACTGTGAAACTGGAAAGCTAGCGAAGATATCTTCGAGACCCTGAAGCCCAAGAAATCCGCAGAACCATACAGGTATGTGACTGACGCTTCCACTCATTTTTCACTATATATATAGAGAGTAAATTCCCTAACATTTTGGTAGCAGAGTAGTTTCCCAAACAAATTTCTTTGGTAAAGGAAACTCCCAAATTAGACCAAAATTTATCCGAGAAATAGCGGTAGCATTGCCTCTACTCCATTTGTGGTTTCATATCACGTTGGTTTTTTTATCTTAATAATCATCATATACACCTAGCGAAACTTCTACATTTTTCATTGCAGTTCCACTCTTATAAACATAACGTCAAGTTATATAGTTATAGCCTTCCTCGGTAAATTGGTTATCTAACACTCAAAGAATTTTGAAAAACCGTTCAGTCTCCTTAATTTTAATATACGATCGTTGCAGATATGCACATCTATCACCCACTGCTGATGAAACGTAATACAAACCCATGCCACAATAACAACTGCTCCCACTTGTGTCTAGTGACATCCAATGTTACGTACACATGCGCCTGTCCTGAGGGGATGCAGTTGAACCAAAGTACCTGCCACAGTAAGTATATTAGTAGACATACACTATCGAAACGCTATGTATGTTAAAGATTGGAACCGACTAAAAAAATAAAGATAACTTTACAAAAAGATTTGAAACAGTTGACTTCTGTTAGAGTTTTGTGTAATATTAGTTTATTTGGTACTAAAGTATTCCCTATAACATAAAGCATAACGAATGAGGAACAAATTAATTCCAAGAATTCTAAATGTCCGGATAACCAGATTCATTGGACGATTTCATCTGAAACCAATGGGTTTTATACTTACTATTGCTATGGGTATTAGAATTAACAAAAACCACAAGATTTTGTGTCATCCGAGAACAATAATATGGATATTGTAACTATATATACTTTTCAGATATGGCAAACTATAGACCTATGCAGTTGATCGTGGGAAGTGGATCGATATTCACTCGGGTGTACTATGACAGTTTGGGCAGCGCAGAGACGCACGCAGCACATTTTGATATTGGTTGGGTGCAAGCAATGGCATACGACAATTTAAGAGGTATGGATACCATCGAATCAAATATAGATAAATAGACTAACCGTTTATTTGTATTCTTACAAAATACACACAATAATATAATAATAATAATATCTCAGGACAATTCACACAGCGCCATCTAGTCCCAAGCTAAGCAGTGCTTGTGTTATGGGTACTAGACAACTGATATAAATACATGGATGCATTTTTTTGGAAATAAATACATATTATACATAGAAAACACCCAGACAGATACAAACAATCATAGTCATGAATACAAATGTTTATACCGTGCGAGGAATCGAACCCGCGACTATCGGATAGTAAAGCGGTGTGCTAAACCACTAGACCACTGAGGCTACAATTGTGTAATATGTATATCGACATAATATTAACAAGTTTATGTAATTCCACGCCAATACAAAAACTCTCAGTGTGGAATATTGTTCAGGGAAAAAGCCACTGATTTTTAGATACAACCCATTTGATAATAATTACTAAATAAAAAGAGCAATTAAAATGGTGACTGTTACTTGGGAAGTGTTTAATAATACGATAAGAACTTTGAATATAAATCGTAATATAATTTAATAAAATAAAAAGAAACTAAAGGAATGTATATATGAACTAAAGAAAGAAATAAATAATAATCATTTCGCCAAATTGAAACTAACAATAAATATATCATGACTTCTGTTCTTAGCAATGTTTAAATTGATATGAAACTTAAAATTGTTGAAAATTACCACTCAACATTATGGAATTATTTTGCAGATACCCTGTACCTGTATGACGGGCAGCGTAAGATTATAAGTCACATCAACATGAGTGACTTCTCACTAGGAGTAACGCAACCGTTCCTATATAAAGGACTGGTGAACGTCGTTGAAATGGAATATGGTGATTATTTCTTTAGTATTTAATTTTTTTAGCATAAAAGCCATATTGCTTTTTATTTCACAGCTCGGGTTTGAACAATTTGTGACAATTCTTCTTTTTCTCATTCAATACGTTCTTGTCCTTGACAGAACGGTCGTGATCATTATATAGTGGAATAAGAGGCTCATGTTATCTAGGCTGATGTGATCCGCTTTACGACAGTTCGTCTTTTGTCTTTACTGGATGCCATTCTGACATACTCATGGAGTGGACCGCCTGTAGCTGGTTTATCTTGGTCGGTCCATCGCATAAGTGATCGTCCACAGGGTCTAGTGCCATATTAATTTCTTAAGTGCTAATAATAATATCCTCAAACCCAAATTACATGCATCTACATAGTTTAATGAAATGTTGAAAAGAAACGTTAATGCATATTCCTTTAAAGTCCAATTTACAATAGATGTTTTGTGACATTTGGTTTATTTGAAAATAATTTTGATGGTTTTCAATGTGACTATTATTTCAGATTACGTGTCCGATTCTCTATACATCCTGGATGCTGGACGACACTTTATAGAAGTGGTCTCATTAAAGACACAGAAGCGAATATTGTTATATAGGTTTCGGGAACAAGAGACACCGGTTAGCTTTTGCATTATGGCAGATTATGGGTAGGTACTTGTTTATATAAAAATTATTCGATAAATATAAATTTAGGAACGATAAGCATTTGTCTAATTTTTGTTAGAATTTCAATTATTACGAAGTATTTGAATTTCGTCCTTTGGAAGAAGTTATTCGATTTCATGGATAATGTTGTAGAATAAATTATGTTGACAGTTTTTCCATTATATCTTAACTCAGTAATAATATTTTACGAAATGATATAACTAATCTACTGTTACATAACATTTTTTATACACTCAATATACAATAGAAAAAAATAATCAAGCTCATGAATACAAATGTTTTTACCGTTGCAGGAATTAAACACTCGAACATCGAAAGTAAAGCGGCGAGTTAAACCGCTAGACCACCGAGGCCGTCAGCTATTATTCAGAGATGTTAATAGAATGTTGCTCTTTCAGGAAAATGTTGCTAGCTGTACGTGAGAATGATAATAGCAACGACATACGCATTGACAGTATGGGATTAGACGGCAGCGGTAGAGATCACGTCATTATGAACGATCTGAAAGGTAGGCACTGAACAGAGTCATCATCATCATCATTGTTCCGATTTATTCCCTTTATTAACTTATACAATTTATGGTTCGCATTTGGGCGAGTACTAGACCTTTAATGTCACAAAAAATATAAACGTGTTGGCAATTAGCTGTAAGTTTATATTATGTAAATAAAATAAATAAAAAAATAAAATAAAATAAATAAATAGTATGTATTGTCTAGGAGGTAGCATTTGAAGTGCCAATAAGGACCAAGTCTTACGATTTAACAATCTCTACATCTTTTTGTCACTAGCGGTTATTTTAATGCAATACCTGAATCTGAAATCACCAATTCTAGTATAGTCATAAGATAAGCAGTGATTTTGAGGTAACACGTTATCTGCGCCTCTAATGATGCAGGTGTTATAAGATGCAGTGGTCCAATTTCAGGTGGATCTTAGGGGTAATACCACTACGTCTTCTAATACATATAAACTATTTATGTTGCAGGTCCTCGTGTTCTTCTACGATACGCCCCTAATATGGATGCAGTGTATGTGTCTGACGATGGCAACAGCATCATTGAATTGATGAACCCTGAAGGTATTTTGTATTTCCAACAAATTGCACTACTACTTGCGTAACAGACCGAAGAATCTCAATCAGGCCTTAGTAGTTAATCCTTCACAATTGTGCTAACCGACCTGATTGATTTTTAACTCGTTTCGAGTAGTTTGCCGATAGAGCAAACAATTTAAAAAATGCTCTGAAGCAAACTGTTCACATCCGGATATTAATGTAACATGTACCCACGTTCATTTATAAGTCTAACCAATGAAACATGTGGAAATCTTATACTTACAAAAGAATGTGGCTGTAGTGAAGCGAATCGTTGTGCGTCAAAAATTCTTGGTAAACCTAAATCCCGGGCAAGCGATTATTACGAGAGTGGGGATTAGTTGGGGTCATTGCTAACATTGAATTGAGTAAAATTTTAGTCCACATCATCCCTCTGGAAACGACAAGTTTTAGTCCTCGCGTTTGTGGTTAATTACTGGTGAATTTGCCAAGATGGGCTATAACTGGCCTGACTTTATGTTATCATCCTATACTAATGGCCCAGCAACGTGGTAATATAACATACCGTTAGTGATGGCGAAGGTACCATTCCGTTATCATTAATTAAAAAATGTAAACCCCGTACTGTTCTCGCTACAGGGATGGGCCGGGAGAGGTTTCGAGAACTTTCCACGTCCATAGCAACCTTGTCGCTGACGGACGCATACGTCTTCTGGACAGATCGTCGCACTCCTCGCCTGTTCTGGGCTCCACTTCATGATGTTACTACCAGGACACGGAGAATACAACTATGTGAGTATACCGTTAGCTACATATGAGTTAGGTAATTATTCTTGATGGGATCATTCCGGAAGAATGCCATGTACTGCTATTTGGCGTCGTTGAACTACATATCTAGGAATACATACTTATAGTGCTTCCTCTGATTCCAATCGCTGATATTTATTTTATCAATAATGAGTATCAAATTATTTTTTATGAATTTGACTTTAAATGTCGAATCAGTCGCATATTACCAAGTGGTATTTAGTAAGTGGCATTAGGAAGGAGAAAAAAGCTTCATGGAAATGTTTCTTTCAACATATCAGTTTGGTCGGAGAAACGACTGAATGTTTGGTGAAGCAAGCAAATTTCTACTTCTGTTAATATTTTCAGTGTCACTATTTCAAAATTAAAACAAACTTGTAGTTTTATATCTAAGGTTGTTATCATTCAGTGAATTTATGTACCTGTACTTTTTTTCCTTTCAGCAATATTTCCAAACAACACACAACTTCACATCCAAGCAACTTCAGCACCACCGAGCAACGACAGTCTTCTCCTGAACCATCCATGTCTTAAGAATAACCCTTGCTCGGACGTTTGTGTCCAAACACCTCATCCCCACCCTCATACAGCCCCTGCCAAATTCTACATGGGGTACAGATGTTTATGCCCACCTTCGTTCCTTATTATGAACGGAACTTGTACCAAACCGGCGGAATGCAAGGAGAATGAGCTTTACTGTCATAAGAGCAATGTCTGTGTACTTGAAGCGAAACGTTGTGATGGAAAGAAGGACTGCGATCTAGGTGAAGACGAAGAAGGGTGCGATGGTAAGTTGGAATTTATTGCATCATTCTAAAATGAAGACAATTCAGCATTTATAAATTCAAATAGTATGATCACATACTATTTGAATTTATAAATTGTAAAATGAAGAGAATTAAGAATCAATTTATAAAATGAAGACAATATAACATTTATAAAACGTATTAGTATTTGACCAATATCTATTATTGTTATGAAACTGGAAACAACGTATGAATATATTTCTCACCCTTCTTTCAGCTCTTTCATGTCTCAAATGTAAGACTTTGTTTTTACAGATAATGTATCAGAAAATTCGGATCCTACAGAGAAGTCGTGTCCTTCCCACCAAATATCCTGTAACGGAAAATGCATAGACCGGGAACAAATTTGTACAGCTCCAGATTCATCCACAACTTCTGCACGTTAGTATCAAATATTATTACATTCATACAATAAATAGTCATTCCCAATATTCCTTATCTACTAATAGGACACTACTTATTATTGTATGGTTAATAACATTACATTGTCCACTACTCGCTCTGTATATTGCTCTAATTTGAAAGTCTTAAACTATTTAATTTTAATTAGTATCACCTAAAATTTCAACGCAAAGAAGGAAAATGTAGAAAAAGAAATCTCTAAATGTGTTTTTTTTAATTGGTTAATCCATTTAATAGTAATAGGGATAAACTAACAGCCTTCATTAGAAATTGCGATAGCGCAATACAGTTAGCATCTACTAACCAAGAAGACGTTGTTATTATGTATATTCCCAGTCAACTTGAGGGTAAAGCCGAAACGGCTTGTTTAATAAAAGATTTCAAGAATCCTAGCTCGTTAAAAGAATTTCTAAAAAATCTCAGAACTACAAGAATGCAAAAGGGCGTAATCAAGAGACTGTCAGAAAATCTACTAATCGAAGTAACTGTTTCTAATTCAAAGAAAAGCGAGATCGTCCGCGATGGACTACCTCGCTCTTCATAATTCACGTTAGGATTACATCCAAGAATATCAAATATAATAAGGTGTAGAGACCCAAAATCCCTTAACGAAGAAATGAACGGCGCCATATCTGAGGAAAAAATACTACAATATTCCTATCGGAACCTCAGACGGAATAGAAGTCAAATTGATTAATTCTATGAGATCTCATTCAAACTCTCAGCACCGACATTTCAAAGAGTTTCTTTCCAAATGTGACATAGCGTATTCTGATATACTGCAACACAACAATGTTGGCTAAGTAAAGGTCAAGTTAACGTGAACGTTTCTGGCTAATGAAAAGAACAAGTAACCTCTTTCTTGCAAAACTTAGATGCATAGAAAGCAGAGCAGTGAGTTATTAACAAACAAGCGTATTATCCTGGTTGTGGCTTTTCTATATGATATTTTGAAATATTGAAATCCGCTCAACGCAGAATTACAAGGAAATGGAAAAGTAATGATGAGAGATATAACAACAAATGTCTTCTTATAAACGAACATTGAAATCCGCAATTAAGCAATTACCTAAGCAATCAGAAAAAGGATTACGTAACTTAATTGATACATTGTCTTAAAATCTAAGTGCACTGAATTCAGCAGGCGAAACTACTGAAAAGTAGATGTTCATATATAACCTTTGATGTTTTTTTTAAATATATTATTGTTCTGTTTCTTTATAGGTACCGATTGTTTTTCTAATGCTATATTCTTTGTATTACGTTTTCTCTAGTAGCTAATTCTATTAATTTAACAACTTTTTATTGATCAAACCACTTCATAATTATTTTTAGCGTCTGTTTGCGAGGCAAGTCAATATCAATGTTACAACTCCACGATATGTGTGGAGCGGTCCCAAATATGCGACGGCGAGGCCGACTGTCCGAATGGCAGTGATGAAGACTCGGTCACTTGTGACACGCTCTCCTGTCAGGACAATGAGTTCATGCAAGTATCGACTTAGTGCATTATTATATGATTTTAAAGCCAAATGGAGCCAAATATGGTCACTAATATTTTTGTAACTATGTTCGAAAATTTAACTTAACTTTCACGGCATTATTAGCGATTATTTTAAAGGCAGGTCGAAGGACCTAATAATTTATGGTACTTCGAGCCGGATCTGAAATAGCAATCTAAGGATTATGTCTTATAAGGTTTTATACACTCCCTAGTGTAGTAAATAACAGCGGAAAAATTACAAATGGCTTATAATTAGTTTTTAGTTATGTTTGTTGTTATTACAGGTGTACATCAGGTTCATGTATATTAAGCTCTTTCAAGTGCGATGGCGAACAGGACTGCGGAGATGGTTCTGACGAAGCCAATTGTGGTAACTATGAACATTTAACAAATACTTTTTGTTTACAGTAATTCTATGTTTAAGTATAATGTAATAAGTGTAATGCAATGTAATAATGTATGTATGTAATGCATACTAAGGCATAGTATGCAAAAATATATGTGATTCAGATCACGGCTATCTGTAAGATTTTTTTAGCAATAAGAACGCCTTTTGAGTATCTTTTAGAGCCTAATAAAGTATTCGATTATTTTATTGACTACTCAATAATTACATGGAATATAGAATCTTTTTACTGTTCAAGTATGAAGAGAGATAATAATAAGTAGGTATCGTGACTTTTTAATGGAGATTAAAAATTACAACTGTTTGTCAGACGGCAAGTCCTGCGCGTTCGGATATTACCAATGTCGTAATAAGGAATGTATCGAGATAGGAAAGAGGTGCGACGGTAATAATGACTGTTACGATCTTTCTGATGAAGAGCAATGTGAGGAACCAGTTACAATGCCTGACGAGGTGAGTAAAATCTACAGGTATGGTAGGCGATCTCCTTGATGCATTTTCATGTTGTTTTAAATTTTATTATTGATGCGTATGTAATTCTCTTTTTATGTTAAGAATGTAGTGTTTTTATCTCAAAAGATATTAATTTGTTTTCACATTCTGTCATCTAAATATATATAACTCAAAGGTGATTGACGGACATAGTGATCTATCAACACACAGCCCAAACCACTGGACGGATCGGGCTGCAATTAAGCTAAGAAAGGATTTTGATTAATTCTACCCACAAGGGGATAAAATAGGGGATGAAAGTTTGTATGAAATTTTGTCAATTTTAAACCGATCGGGCTTTGCATGCATATAGCTACTATGACGTGGGCATTCCCTAAAAAAGGATTTTGATAAATTCCACCCCTAAGGGGATAAATTAATGCGAGCGAAGCCGCGGGCAAAAGCTTGTTGAGTAATAAAAGAGCAACATAAGACGGATGTGTTAATTAGTACATATTTATTGGCGACGAGATTTATATCTATATTATTTTTGATTCCCATATAATACAAATAGCTGGAAGTAGCTGGTTTTAGAGGCACAAGTTTACCAATTTCGAAAGGTAGTGCTAAATTTACTTATATATTTCTAAATAAAGATATTATATTTGTTATCTTCAAACACTTTAAAAGATATACGAGGTTAATGAATGTGATGACGAAAGAAATGTTCTTACAATACGGCATATGTTAAGAATGACTGCTGTTTGTTACAGTTCTATTGTGGAGGAATATATCTAAGTGTTTCCTTAGACTATTAAGTAAAATTAGTTGTAGTTGGACCATACGATGTGACGCATTCATTGCCTCAACGACACGATTTATTTTATTTCTAAGTATATCCTACATTAGTCTTATCTTTAAGAGGACAATGGTGTCTGAGATACAGGCTGGGCCTAGTTTAGACACTACTGCACTGGACTTGGTATTAAATAGTTTTAAGAACTATTGTTATATATCCTTAGTTAAGTCCATTTTGTATTTGTTTTTTGCACAATAAACTTATTATTATTAAATTCCTATGTTTATTTTATATTCTACAGAAGACGGTGCCACATTGTGCTGAGAAGGAGTATACTTGTGAACTCAACAGAAGTATTTGTTTGCCGTTCACGGCACGGTTAGAAATTGCTATACGGGATGTTGGTTCCATGTTTGTGACGTCAAAATTTAATCGAAAACTTCGATTGAAACAAATTGGTGGGGTCTCAATGTTTAGTGTTTGTAATGTTGATACATGTATTGTGTTTGTTTCTTTGTGTTATTTAGTTTAGAAGAACATTTTCAGTTTGTTTTTGTTTGTCTTTCTGGTTTAGTTTTGAATTTTTATTACATATTCTAGTGTGTTTACTATAACTTTGTATTGTCTTTGTCAAATTGTCTATTTATTTACTTAGTTGCATTGTACAATCATAATATAGTAGCTTATAAACTCTTTAGTAATCGCTCATACATAACATTGTTAATTTTTATTGAGTTGTTATTTATGTTAATTTATAAACTTTATACTTTACAGCAATAATCTCGTCTCTTTCTTGTATTTCATTTCTATCGCTAGTTTTGGAGTGTATATCTATATATTCTACCAATCATTTATTTGCGACACCTAATTACGATAAGAGAATAGAAGCTTCAACAGTTTTACTATAAACTTGGACAAATAACAAAAATAAAGGAAAAAGTCATAAAAAAACCTAAAACTTAGTTATGTTGTTAAGACGTAACGTCAGAAATAACCCTGCTAATGATATTAAGAAGCAATCAGAGGTAGCACTATTATTGATGAAGGCATTAATGTTTTCAATTCGTTCAATCTCAATTAAAAAAAAATCACACTAGAAGTTAATCAGAAAATTTGTTGACAAAGATCTACAATGACATATAAACAACTATTAACTGACCATGATGCATTAGTTTGTTCTTCTTTGACATTTGTTGTAATTTTAATCAACAGATGCAACTTCAAGGTAGAGTGTCCTGGAGGAACCGATGAAATTGGATGTGATCTGCGCTGCGCTCCGCACGGTCTCTTTGAGTGCAAACAGGAATTAATATGTGTGTCCATGCATAGAGTCTGTAATGGAGTCAATGAGTGCTTGGACGGTTCAGATGAAACGCCAGAGGCTTGTCGCACAGGTTTGTTCTTTCAATTTGGTAAAGCAATCGGTGTTATTGAATTTTTTTTACTTCTGGGTAACTTAAAGTAGTGCTTACTTTTATGACCTAAGTCTACAAATATTACAAATTGTTGATACAGTGTTAGTTGATTTGATTGTTTGTACATTTCCTTGGAAGTTATTGAAAGTATGCATAGACTATAAGGATTGTACAAAATTAGTAATGATTTACGTATTGCAAGTAATTCAAGTGAAGAGCTGAAGGAAAATTTTGAGCTTACATGTCGATTATATATTTTTATATGATTATATCATTCTTATGTAATTATCGACATATGAAAGACATAATGGTATTGTAATCTAATAATATAATTACCATTTACAACAAACATAATATCTGTAGGTACTGAATGAAATCTATTAATCTGTATTAAATATTTTTTCAAAAACCTATAGACGTTATTCCAAATGCCACGAGTAGTGTTCAAATAATACTAAGCACAATCTGTTTCAAATAAATTCACATAATATTTGACGATTACTTTACATTTTAGTTAACAGAACATCGCATTTCTTCCCTCCGCTGTTGTATCCTGCTGCAGAATGTCGTAACGGCTTCTTGTGTAAAAGCGGACAGTGTGTAGAACTGAATCAAGTCTGCAACCAGGTTCCCAACTGCTTCGATGGCACCGACGAAGGTGGAAGTTGCTGTAAGTGTAACTTTGTTATGAAGCTTAATAGCCAGGAGCAAAATTTTGTAGAGTATTTTCTGATATATGAGCATACTATTAGGGAGTTAGAAAGAAAAATACTAATTTATGTAAGGAAGAAGAAATCATTCGCTTGATATTAGATTTAACAGACAAAGCCAGGTATACTATAGTGATTACAGCATTTAAGACATCTAACGACATGATTGACAATCTGACGATACTGAATGAGAATCTGACCATATATTTTGTAAAGTCAAAACTACTAGACGAGAAATTAAAGTGTAAATATAAAATGACTATATCAAACAATAAATAATTAGTTTTTGAATCAGTATCAATATGTAGCATGTAACAACTAACAACAAAGTAGTTCATGCAGATATAATTCACGAACTCAAACATTTACAGAATATTGTCGAAGTAGTTTTAATAAAACTGGTATCAGAGGTAGAGGACACTGTAATGGAAATAGAAGAGGCCATTCAGAATAGAACACAACACACCTGCAATACGAAAATCTTTATAGCTTTAAATCTTATATAGAATAATAATGTAAACAATATATTTATTCTTAACTCTAAAGCATCTGATGTTAGAAGAAATTTAGACAATACGTTTATTCAATAACAGAATCACAAGAAGTTTAAACGGGTCGAGTAGTAGAACATTATTTAAAGAGTATGCAACATTTTCATCGTCAAAATCCAAATCCACTTTCCAGTTACAGCCTGTGATAACAGCACGTGTACCTTCTCCTGTCTGCCGACACCATCAGGACCACGATGCGTTTGTCCTTACGGATACAAAACCCACACTGATGGGCACACGTGTCTTGACATCGACGAGTGTATCAACGATGCGTGTTCACAGCGCTGTCAGAATATACCCGGGTCTTTTCTATGTTCTTGCAACCACGGATATGCTCTTAGGTGAGTTAGCTGAGACTTTATTTATTGAAAACTACAGTTTACACTCGTAATCATTAACTATGGAGACGTAAAAATACTAGTATTACTAGGAACATGGCCCGGAAAAAAGGATTTAATCTAGAATGGTTCAATCGAATACATTAAATAACATAAAACTCAGTTGATGGTGCTAACAAGAAGGGTAGCAATAGTGGAAATATATCGGAAGACTTAACCGTCAAATTTACATCGAATTTAAGGGACTACTGACATTATAACAACTGGAATGCTCTAAAAAAAATTTTGTAACAATTATAACTATAGAATAGAATAACATTTATTACATCACACATCACAACACAATAAAAACGATGCTGACAGATGCGTATAAATTATTATATAAGATAAATGTAAATAAAAACAATGCATTAAATTAGAGATCAAGTCACTATATACAGAAAAAAATAAAAGAACAACAGAGTAACAAACAAATAAATAATAATAATAATATTATATAGTAATATTCATTCACAATTAAAGCACTTGTCCCATATGAGAAATTTCTTTAGTTTGCACTTAAAAAACTAGACGAAAATTTACCAAACTTCAACTTAGTAAGTCAATGTGGTTATTGAAATTTTGTAATTAGTGAGAATGCCATAATAAGGCATGGAGCTGGACTAAAGGATAATCATTTAGTTCATGTACATATATTTAAGAATTCTCTTTCAACAGATCTGATCGCCGTTCATGCAAAGCTGTTAAAGGAAGCATGTCAGTACTGTATCTATCGGGTAACAGAATCGGATCTGTATCTGCAGATGGAAAATCTTCACTAGATTACATCGAACCGAATGCAAACATTGTAGACATGGATACAGATATCAGGTCAGTGCTATTATAACAATCTTTAAAAACAGTGAGTTTACTTCATTTGTTTATACAAGAAAATGCAGCCCTTATGTTAGTTTTAATATTGTTATAAAATAATTGAATTCCATCAAGTTGCGACTAGTGTCAGTGACTAGAGGTTGTGCCTCTAAAGAAGAAGCCAGGACAAAGTGATGGGACCACTAAAACAATGGAAACCAAAATTTTTTTACATACGTCGTTTTTAATGCAATTTTTACTCACATTTTTAAAATTACTGCTGTTATTCTGAGTACAATACCAACACAATGAATATGTTATAGAAAAAAAAGCCAAGAACTTACAATAATTGCATCAATGTCATCAGTTCATCAGAGTTGAATGTTCACCGTTTGCAGATTGACAGTATTGAAGTTTAGATGTTTGAAGTTACACATATATAGCTGCATTTTATCTGTATTAATTTCAGGCAAAATAGGCTCTTCCTGACATTATATGATGCCGGCAAATTAATAGAGGTAAAAGGGAATAGTAACAAGACCGAAATCACGAACATCGGCAGGCCCACGAATGTAAGTCTTAACAACTGACTTCGAAACGATTTTTAATTACATACTTTTGTGTATATATAGTGACCACATAATGAGACTAGTTCCATTAAAAAAATGTCGGCCAGCTGTTATAAACTCTATACTATTAAGATAACACATAATTTTGTTCTTTTTAACGTACATACATTGTCATTGATATTATAAACTTTTACTATTAATGTATCTATAAAATGTTAACGATGAGGACATAAAATTGATACAGGACAATTTGAACAGTTCCTGCAATTACAACGCACACAACATGAACAATATAATGAAAATAGTTCCGTTAAAAAAATGCAGGTCAGCAATATCAACGAATGAACTTTTTGTGGGTAGGTTAACATAGTACCAAATATGATGAGACTGCATCCATTAATAAAATTTTGGAAATGAATTATAATCGTAGCTGAATGTGCTTCAACTGCTTAATCCCAAAGTTTGGCCTAATTGCGAGACATTTTTTTAGAATTAATAGTTAGTCTGAGCACGGTAGTTTGTCTCATGTATTCCAGTAAGATTCTTGTAATATTTAGTGTTAGTTTCGTTCCAATCAGTGAATAAAAAGCTATAAAATATTGTAATTCCGAATACCATGGGTCGCGGGATCGGCTACAAATATTCTATAATTCCTTAAAGTTCTTAAAGTTTCTATAAATCGAATTTGCGTGCGTGCGGATTATGATACAAACATTTGTAGGTACTTTACTCTTTAGCTACAAGTATAGTGTAAGATTGATATGTGGGAACTTTATTTCTTTAGTTTCTGTTATTTTTGTATTGTAATTTGTGTTAGTGGCAGTTTTGTTGTTGATGATATCCGTAATATGTGCATCCAAATTGAAAATCAGCCTTGGATCCATATTTACAACTTATCGGTAGTCCACATTGACTTTATTATAATCTATATGTGTTTATTACATTATTGTTGTGATGTATTTTGTATTTGACAGAGATATTAAAATTATTTTCTATTCTATTTTTATTCTAATACCCTTAAATAAACAATGGTCAATCTAATAACTATGTATTACTACTTCAGGTTGCGGTGGACTGGATCACGGATAATGTATATTTCGTAGACAGGACTCCAAAAAATAATCATGTCAGAGTGTGCAACTTCAAAACCAAGAGATGTGCGAAACTGCATAAACTTCCTATAAATGGCGATGCTAAGGTAAGAGATACAAAGCTCATTTTGTCAGCTTTAAATTTAAAAATATATTCCCAATATGAAGTTACCAATGAAACGGGATTAGACGATTAAAGAAAAGATGGACAGACTGTGTGTAAGATGATATGCATAAAAGGAGAGTAAGCTGAAACTGCTGAATAAGATGAAATGCTACGCGGACCCCAACTACTGGGATAAAGGCAAGGCAATGACGATTCACAAGATGAGATTAAAACTGCTCATAAACTCTCCGTTTATCAGACATCTACATCACAACTAAAACGAAATACGCTTATGAAAAGGTATATTCGATTTTCGAATTTTAAAGCAGTACAAGTGTAAACTTAGCTAATACCAAATATAAATTGGAAAAAAAATATTTTTGTTGGTAATGAATAAACTCAAAAATTACTTTATTAATTTTCAAAATACTTTCATCTACAGAAAGTGAAAGTGGTCTAATCTGTAGCTAATTGTGTTATCTACAATATAGCGTACGAAATTTATTGTACATAATTATTAATATATTTGTTTTCAAACAATAGCATATTGATCTGTATTTATTCTCCTATAGCTAACGTCGCTGAGAGTAGATCCAGCATCCCGCAGAATGTTTTACTGCATCATCACTGACAATGAATCTGTAGTGTGGTCAGCATCGCTAGCCGGACAAGATCTGTTGGACTTGACCACAGTGCGAAATTGTACAGGCTTGGCGGTGGATTCTTTTAGAAAAAGGTTATACGTCGCTGAAACTGAGCCGTCGGTCATCACCAGGATGAACTTTGAAGGGGATCGACAGTAAGTGAATTTAGATGTGTGTTCAAAATCTACCCTGTAACATCGTAAGCACAGATTATTATATTAGAGCCCGTTAGTTTCTGTTCCCGCGCGTTCCCTTCCCCTCCCTGACCTAGTACTGAACTGACCGTACAGCGGCCTTGACGCGCGCGCGCATTGTGTTGTGAATTAAAATAAATTAGAACTGAGTGAAACCTACTGTGAAACCTACTGTGAAACTGGAAAGCTAGCGAAGATATCTTCGAGACCCTGAAGCCCAAGAAATCCGCAGAACCATACAGGTACGAGACAGACGTTTCCAAATATTTTTCGCTATATATATATACATAGTATTTTCCCTAACAATGTGACTCAATAAAGAACAGGTTTACGTCCAACATTCAGGTTAACAGTAGGCTATAATCTCCCCCTATTTAGAGATAAGACTAGAAGTAGGACAGTAGCTTTTTTTTATATGCAGAATAATTCACAAATCGTAATCTAGTCTTCGACTACTTTCACTTGATAATAAACAACTGAGAGGAATACTTAATATACATAAGAATACGTAAGAAAATCATGAAAAACAAAAACATTAGAGATAAATAAAACACATACAGAAAACAGCGTCGTAGCTTAATAATGTACTACGAAACTACGACCGAGAGGTCTTAAGTTCGAATCTAGCCTAGGTGTAGCTTGCAACGTTCTCTTTGCGAGTAATGATATCACAGATTGAATTAGCCTTCAAATTTCAGCAAAAAAGTCATATTTGGCCATCCACAACTCCAAGAACCACATGGATTAGCGCTATTCGAAGATAGCGTCTACTTCTTAGCTGGCAACACTTCAAGACTCAGCCGTTGCCAACTCTTCGGCAACAAACCATGCGAGCCTTTCATTTATCGGATGTTTGATGCGAATGCATTTGTTATACGCCATGAGAGCGTACAAAGAGATGACGTGAAGAACGAGTGTGAAAACTTTGTTTGTTCCAATATTTGTGTATTGGATAAAAATGGCCCATTGTGTCTGTGTTACGATGGATCTGTCGCTAAAAATGGACGTTGCGCTAAGGCTGAGAAGAGTGAAGTAAGTAGCTGATTCAGTAGATTTCAAACTTTATAACATTTCTTTAATCCAAAATAAATCTACAGTAAAATTACACAAAAAAAATATGTAACGAATAAACTCTTAAAACTACTAGACCGGTTTTAAAATATTTTTACCACTACGTATCCTACATTATTAGCGAGAAACATAGGTTATCTTTATTACTAAGACAAATAGATACCCTTCTAAAACTTCAGAGTGTAAGAAAAATAGCCACAAAATAAATAATAAAATGATGTTTTTTGACATAACTGCCCCACAACGCTTTCTTTATACCTAAAGGTTAGCTGGTGGAGAATGCCGTACGGCATTAAGCTCGCCTTTGTACAAGTTATATTGTGCATTAAAGAATAAATAAAATCTTTCAGAAAGTGATGAATTTTATAATCACTCTCTACTCGTGCGAACAATACACCTAGTGTCGTAACTATTGATTGTTATTTTACCGTCATTCGACCATGACAAAATACATTCGAACTAAGGCAACTAAAAAACCTAAGGATCTGATTATAAGGATCTCAAATAACAATAGAAGCTAGAGCTTTTATATACCGATTAGATAAGATGGACATTTATTCCAAGAGAAACATGATGATGACAATACTTGCAATACTGCAGTTTCTTATATCGTCGGTTAAATAGAAAAATAGCAGTATTCAAAAGCAAAAGAGTATTTAAGCAGTTTTTTTTTAATTTATTTAAATTATTTTTCCCTTTAAAGTTTTAAGTTTACACAGAAGTATTATATATCATTTTAAAAGTATTTAGATAAGGATTAAGACGGCGTGGTTAATTCAATTGACTTACATACGAGGCAATTCTAGATTCTAATTTTGAAAAATAACATTTTTCTTATTAGCAGTCGAGTGATGGGTTAGTAATTTATAACCCCAGTTGGCCTCATAATTCTTGTGCTGGAATTAATGATGAAGACGTCGTAACTCATAATGGTGAACGTTGTCAAACTGATTAAAATATTTTTAATTTCCTATTATGCATGAATCATGATTTAAATGAGAATTTTGAGTTCCTATATTTTTTCCTAATTGACAAAGAAACACGGCTATATAAAGTTGATTTTTCAATGCTAAAGTACAGGTTAGTCTATTAAATAGTTGAGATTCTCTTATATGGTGTTTCTTTCTTAACATCCCATTTAATGTTGGTTTCCTCTATTTGCGACTAATTATGAACGCATTAAACTTTAGTTTGTTATGGAAATAGCTATAGCATTCCGACATTTTATCCTAACACTATAAACGCTATAACATTGTCAAACTTCTTTATATCATTTTCTATTTCCCGATAAACATAGGCTACCCTAAATGTTACATATACATATATAAGTAAGGCATACTTTTTGTTAACCACTGAGGCGAGGACGAGTTTAATATTAAATTTCAAACTCTAATCAACTATTAATCTAATTCCAGCTGCCATTTTTCAACGGAAGGACTCACGAAGACTATTCCACCTCAGAGAAAGCCTCGCTCACGGTCATCATCACTATTGTGGTGCTGTTCGTGATATACCTTTCCGTATTCTGCTACTACCACTTCGTGTATCGCGCTAGGAAGAATCGCGCATCAACTTATATGGAGTAAGTTATGTTTCATTTCATCACACTTATTATTACTTATGGCGCACGTCTGAGAATTTGTAATAAAAAGGATCCAATCATTATAAATCATTTGTATCAATGTGTTCCGTCCAATATGGTGCAGTGCAATGATGGCTGTCTCAACCGTCATACTCTTGAACGGGTGCCATTTGTGGTGACTGGTCTGTTCGGGTTATGAACACTGATTAAACTATTTGCTTTTGACAAAATTGCTATAGCATATGCTGGTGGTCACTCTATTCTCCCAATTTGAATTTAAAAATAAATCGGTATTATTGTAAACATGTAAAACATTTAATTGAAAAGAATACGATCGGAGTTTCTTATCAGTTCTTCACATCTCGAAAGCATTCAGAATTGACGGTAGATTTGATGTATTATAAGAGTCTCGTAATAAAACTACATGAATAAAGATATTTTGGTTTTGATTGAATCAATCAATCGCAATAGAGGCAGACGTACTGACGAAAGCACTACAGTCTACATCAACCAAGACTCGAAGATGATCCAATCAATAGTGTATGACTTACACCGTATTACAGAGTCCGAAAAATGTTGACTAATGTCCAGGAAAAAACCTTAGTGGATTATTTAACGAGATACAGCAATATGTTTTATGAGCTTATTTTACTAAATTCCAACCAATTAGCCTACGAAATGGCAGTCTTCAATAACATCACGGTATCAAAATGGCATGACACCCAGCTAGCAGGTGTCGAATGGTTGCATAGTTTTAGAAAACGATTTACACATAGTTTGAGCACACCTGAAGGATGCGGTTTGAGTCGTGCCACGTCTTTCAATCGCCACAATATAAAAACGTTCAATGATAATTTAGAAGATGTCATGCCTAGACATGAAGGGTTCGGTGACGGAACTAGAGTGTATAATCTAGATGAAACAAATACCATGACTGTACAGAAATCGGCTTAAGTTTTGGAAGTGATAGGGCAAAAGCAGGTATCGAAAGTTACCAGCGCGGAAAGAGAGACTTTAGTGACTACGTGTTATATTGTGAATGCGTTGGGAAACACGTTACCGCCGGTGTGATATTTCCTAGACTTTAAAAGCTATAAGACTAATGGGGCTCTAACTGGAACTAAAGGCCTCGTAACACAAAGTGGATGGATGAACGGAGAATTATTTGTCAATACTATGAAACACTTCGTAAAACACTATTTTAGATAATCACGAGTCACACATATGCATCTAGGCATTGAATTTGGCTAAAGACAACGGCGTGACTATTCTCACGGTTCCACCGCATTTAACTGGAAAAATTTAAAATGTGGCTGGATGTGTCAAAGAAGTGCACATAAAGACAATGATTCCAAACAATATTTCCAGGGCCTAAAAGGTTAAGGGTAAAGGTATTTTCTATTTAAGGATATTTTTACCGACGAGAACTTCGCACCTAGTGATGTTACCGACCGACAACAAGAAAATATATTTAATATTCTAGAAAATAGAACTGAAGAACGCAGTCACACCGTGGATACTGAGGACAGAGATAGAACAAGAATTCCGTCACCATCATTTTACTTACTTATGATCAGGTATTGCCTGGTTTTGTTAGCAATTTTTTGTTAGCAAAGTCCTCTAATTGTTTTTTTAATGAAGATCTTATGTTGCCAACTGTTGAAGAGTATAAAAAGAGCCTTTACCATTTACGTCAAGGAATATACCAACCACCTCAGCCTTCATTTCAAGTACCCCAGCTATCCGAGCTTGCTTTTAAGGTATTTGAACAGTCTACTCAAAAACCTGTAGGAACTCTTAACCTGTAGGTAGACAACAAACGCCAATAAAATAAATTCTAAAATCAATAGAACCACCGTAACCACCAAAATACACCGTCCACACCCAGACCCAACCCTCCAAAAAAAATTACTCTAAAGATTTTAAACACACCTGGTATATGAATAATAAAGACTTGGTCTGATGACCTTACAAAGATTGCCGGCCCACTGTGGCTCCGATTGGCAAAATATAGGAACACATGGAAAATTCAATGACTCAGAGACTGATGTGCAGAATTAAAAGTAACATATACATATATAATTATTATTTCTTTTGTCTTTTAAACTTTTAATTAAATATTTTTGTTAGATTGTATAATTTTGTGTCAATTAATAAAGGATTTGAATTTAAATAATACAGAGTTAAGAGTACTTTAATAGTTTATAAAATAAATCTATGTAGGTAATGTGGTGATAGTGATGTGGTGTAGGTGGTGATTTTGAAACTGTAACCAAAGTAAATAGAGTATAAGCACAAATTATTCTTTTAAAATAAATGATACAATGTTATAATACACATCTTTTATTGGGTTCCAAATAGCCATTATCCATTGTCTCCCGTAAAATACGTTGTGCCCTTGCTCTGTATCTACTGTGACCAGTTTATGGAACATAGTGGATACTTTGCCATTTGTTAAAAAAATTGATTATTTCATAACTAAGTATTTGTAATGCTATTTTTGCAATGTTGTTTCAAACTTAAATATATCTTCTAGGTTTTCATTAAACCACTGAACAATCTGTGGTAGAAGAGGTGACATTCTAGCACTTGTAAAATAAAAATAACCACTGAACCCCATGTTCCCCTACTAAAGGCTATTTTTGCATGACACATCACACAGACAGTTTTCGGTTGATTATGATTTTCTTTTTTATAAAGATTAGCTAAAATTTAAACACCTTTAAGATATTGCTTCTCATATAATATCGCCTTGTTATTATAATTATATTTGTTAAATTAATTTTAAAATCTAATATCTCAGTAAACAATAAGGGACTAACATAGAACCTCAAACTTTTTCTAATGATTAAACAGAGCTTAATTTTCTTGTTATTTATTATATATCTGTAACTTTAATTGCAGGGTGAGATTTCAAAACACCGAAGCAAGCAGCGCATCAATATCCTCTCAAGCAACATCTGTTATAGAAGTTCCTGATGTTAGGCAAGTTGTCTTATTATTCTTTTTTTTTAATTGCAATTTAGATTTACACTTAACCTGGATCCAAAATCAAATTGACAATTATAATATAGTTTTTGTATTTTTTTTTCCCATCGTTTCCCATTCCCATTCGTCCATCTCCTTTTCAGTGATGAAACAGGCAAAGATCCTTAGACCGTACAGCCTTATAGTTTAAATGTAGTAAAATATTGATACACATTTACACTAAAGCTATCAGTACTATGTGACATACCAATGACTCAATAATTACAATTACTTATTGTAATAAATAATCACGACCATGTGTTCTTTAAGAATATAGAAACAAAATATAGTCAAGACTTGTAAGACGACAATAGTCGCAAATAACAATAAGTACCTCAAATAAATTATAAACAGATAAAATATAACAAAAAAAAGGATTCCAGATTCAAAAACAAATTATAATAGAGGGAAAATTCTAAATTGATTAAAAGAAACTAACGAACTAAGTATTTGGATAGTCTTTTTTTAGGTTGTTCATAAGTTTGCAAGAATATAATTTAATTTATTTACAATGAAATTGAGAACAAAAGTATAAAGACAGGTATCAATTGTGAAGAGAAAATGCGCCTGAAGTGAAGATAAAAAGCCAAACTCCTAATAGAATACAAATAACCAAACCAAACGCTAAACAAAATATAAGTATATACACCAAAATGTAACAGGCTCCAAAATGGAGAAAACATATTCAATCTTCATATAACGTGTGATAAGATTATATCCGACTTAACTATCACGAGATTCAAGTCACAGATATGTGTACAAGTATAAAACAAAATTAAAACAATTTTGCTATAAATATTCGATGCTATCCATTTTTTTTAAATATTAGGTACTTTGACGATTTAAAAAAACAAGGTTAATAGACCACAGGCTAAAGATATAATAGACAATTAGACATACATTGTTTACAATATAATAAAACAGCTCCATCTATGGGATTAAAGCACAGAACAGATTAAAGCACAGAACAAATTAAAGTGACCTATTTTCCGTACGACAATTATGATTAAATAAATGAACATGATCCTAAAAATAAAAATAGAAATTATAGAAATGATTTCAAAATATTGGCAAATCAATGAATTTGCCTCATTCGATATTGCGATGCGATTGCAGTGCAATGTTGCCAGATGACGACCCCAAAGTAAACCAAAAGTGGGAAATAACCATAAAATAGCCAGTCACGTGAAAATCACTTAAATAGCATTACGGTTTTTAGCTTCCCTATTTAGTAAATTTGTATTATAAATTTGATACTATTGTTAATGTTCAATATTAAATATAAAAATAAATTTTATTTTTCTGATATCTGTAGTACTCCTACTGAGAGTACACATGAGTTCGTGAACCCGCTGCAGTTTGTGAAGAATGTATGGCGCCAATCAGTACGTCGTACGTCGAAACCTGCTGTTGTAAGGATAAATATTTAATATTTACTAAATTAATATAGGAAGATACCTATAATTTCCAAGATACACTTTAGGTACATCTTAAAAATACTGAACTGATCTTTTTCATCTCTGCATAGGTAATTACAGTTTTATCGAGTCACATTGACTATATTGCACTCGGGCAGAACTACGGGTTACTGCTAGTCTATTAATAATGAATTTAGTCACTGATTTTACTATGTCTTATCGGCAAATTTTCATTGTACAATTAGCATTTTAATTTTAAAAAGTCAAGGAACTCAAACACTGTTGCATATTAGAAACCGAAATAAAAAATTAAATTCTGAATAAGTTTAATAATAAGTAACAATAAATAAAATAATATATTTAACTTCCACTTAAAATTATGTATTTTATTTAAAACTAACTGTCACCCATAACTTAGTCTGTGTGAAATTAAACTTCTTTTATTATAATTAGTATAATTTTTAACATTAGCTTTCTGCAAATGAAACGCCCGTCAAAATCGATCCAGCCATTATAAAGTTGCAAGAACAAATAGAGAGATAAATAAAAAACTATATAAGTACCATATAATTTCACATGCAATTAATTTAAAATTACAAACAAACACTTCAATTTTATGTATTCGTGTAGATGATCTATCTGTAGACGACATTACTGATTATTCAATATTCATATTAATATATTTCATTAAATATTTTTAGGACACAGCAAGCGTGGATATTGAGTCGCCGAGGATAGAGCAAGATCTTTCTGATACGGAGTCGGATCTTGATGAGCGTGACAGCCAGAGAATAATGCACTAATATCACTATCCTCTAATTTTATTATTTATATTATTAAAAAGGAAAGAATTTACGTCGGCTCCAAAAATCGCCTGAACTGAATGTAGAACATTAAGTTTTATTATGCTAAAATGTGTAATGTACAGTACTTAATTAGTTAAGAATCTTAATTTAAGAACTCATCACTGAAATAAAAATGTTACCAATAATTTTATATCTGGCCCGTAGAGCTCGTGTTGGCTGGATCTCTATCAAATAAGATATATTTCAGAATCTAAAAGTAAGATCTATTAAAGTAATGGTTATTATTGCATTATGTAATAATTATTAATGATATTCTTTTCAATAATTATTTGGTATTCAAATAATCATATACATAATTCATACCTAAATATGAAAAATAAACCTTCGGAAAAAGTCATGAGCTCAATCTATTTCAACAATCAAACGGGACTTCCTTTGTAAGCAGCGCTTCAGTTGCAGGGTGAGTCAGGCAGTGAAATTACAGGCCAAGAGGCATGACATCTTTGTCCTCCGAATATGGATCAACGGTATCAGGTGCGTCACATGATAATGTGATGTCCACTTCATGTATATAGGCGACGGTTACCATTTACTATCAGGTGGGATCGTCAGTTTTTCTGCCATTTCACTTACATAAAAGTAATGATTACATAAGTAAAGGAACATAACTGGTATCAATGTCTTCTTCACCCTCTGATCTCGTGCTTACATAAGTACTTACCTATATTGTTTATAAATAAATCAAAATAAAAATGTAAATTATTTTATATCACTTACGGCATGAAATTTTAATGAGATAATTATGACTAAACATAATTATAACATATGTAATGTTATTAATTTTTTAATATCCTGTAATTTTATGAAGTATCTGAATTTATAAGTTTTAATGAGATTGAATAAATTATTTTTTTAAATTCAGTGTTTTTATTGTAGAAATTATGTTGAGTAATCTAATCTATTTATTAGCAGTAAAATAAAAATTATGTTCGGAGATCATTGCAATTCACTTACCTGGATTGAGTTTACCTTTTGCGTCGTTCAATCCAAGTCAATGTTAAAAGATCTGGTCTACTTACATTTTTCTGTTGTTCTATGGATTATACTTTTTAGAGACACTCGTTTGTCTTACGATGTCCTAGTTGACTGCACTAAACACCACAGAACATTAATATCCTATCTGCTACGTAGTTTTACCCTAAATCAAAGGTACAGTAAACTAAACTGGCAACACTATTCTTAAATTTCTGTAATTTGTATTACAAGCTCTGGCTAAAAAGGATATGTATCCAGAGCTGAAAAACAATATTAAAAATTTTCTTCATGCAATCATTCAGTAGGATTTTATTTTTGCTATAAAATTTCGTTATTTCTCAGAGACATATATATATCATTCTTATTAAAATGAAATAGGGGTAGAAAAACCTCTAAGTGTTAAGGGTGGTCGACCCTAAATTGTATACTTAGACAAGATTTTAATTATTTTGAATCTGCTAACAAAATCATTTGTAATAACTATATGAGTACCTTAAATAGATATAGCATCTAATAAAATAAAACACAAATGCAATTAAAAAGAATTAAATGTATATTATATTTTCCTATAGAGATAAAAGACAAATATAAGTAATGATTAGTGAATAATTTACTTCCACAGTTTCTTGATAGACATGTTCTTCTCAGAGTCCTTCTGCATTACTTTAGCCACAGCCATTTCAAAGTCCTCTTGTGTAACATGCACTCTGCGTTCCCTCAGTGCGTACATACCGGCCTCTGTGCATACACCCTTAACTTCAGCACCAGAAGCACCAGGCATTAACTCTGCAATCTTACGCAGATTGATGCCTCTAGTCAAGTTCATTTTGCGAGAATGAATTTTTAGGATGTCCAACCTGGCCTCTTCGTTTGGTGGTGGGAACTCTATCTTCCTGTCAATACGTCCAGGCCTCAGTAACGCAGGGTCAAGAATATCAATTCTATTTGTAGCCATGATGACTTTAATGTTCTTTGTGGCTTCAAACCCATCTAACTGATTCAGTAACTCCAACATGGTTCTTTGTACCTCTGAATCTCCACCACTTCCTGATTCTATACGTGACGAACCAATGGAATCAATCTCGTCCATAAAGATGATAGAGGGAGCATGCTCTCGAGCCATTACGAACAACTCTCGGACCATGCGACTTCCTTCACCAATGAATTTCTGTACTAGCTCAGAACCTGACACTCTGATGAATGTGCACTCAGTATGGTGAGCTACAGCACGCGCTAAGAGCGTCTTACCAGTACCAGGAGGGCCATACAAAAGCACACCTTTGGGTTGAGCTATACCCAATGCATCGAACAGCTCAGGGTGTTTTACAGGCAGTTCAATCACCTCTTTGATTTCCTTAATCTGCTTATCCAAGCCACCGACCATCTCGTAAGTAGAATCCGGCACCTTCTCGACCATCATAAGTGATACTAAAGGATCGACCTTGTTTGGCAGGATTTTATGAAGCGTGTAACTCTCATTGCGCAATGCAACACGGCAGTTGGCGGTAACATCGTTAATATCTACGTTTTTGTCTAAATCTACAACAAACTTGCCTTCTGGGTGTACTTTCACAAGGACCTTCTTTTTATCCATTGGTTTCACAACTTCGCCGACGTACGACCCCTGCTCCTGTAGAAGTTGTAATTCTTCACGCAACATACGCACTTTCGCGTTGAGTTCATTGCGCTGAGCCTGCAGACGCCGGAGATTTTGGGACTTCTCTGCCACAATTAACTGAAGTTCTTCGATCTTTGTTATGTAGTAGGGACGGAAACCATCGCCCTTAACTGGGTCTATTTCCATTTTAGTTACTGTCATTTTGGTAGTTTGTTGTTCGCATTAATTTAATAAATACTGTTTTCTTCAGCAAAATTAATGAAATCAATAAATAAACCGACACAAAACGACAAGTAATATTTTACGAATCACGATGCAGTGTGACATATAAGAAAAAATATTTTCTACCAGGCAATAAATAAAAATCACAGATATTAAAATGTCTATTTTCTTAACGATGCTCACAGAGTAAGAAATACTTTCTACCTAAAACTAAATGAATAAAAACAAAAATGCTTTAATTTATAATTATTTTACTTTTATTGAAAATATTTGCAATGCTCCTATATATTTCTTTATTTAATAGTGGCAATACTGTACTCGTTCAGAAATTAGTTATTATTTCGATCTTAGAAAATTAGAAACTGTTTTCATTTAATGGAAAATATAGGAGACAAATAATTTGAGTTCATTCCCTAGTTAGGACAAATAAGTACTTAATTCGAATATAACTAATGGACATATAAATAATGTCGAATTAGCACCATATTTTATAAACAGAGATGTTGATTGATGACGACAACATAAAATAGATGGCGCTATCTAACTATCATCCTTCTGTAACATCATACTCATTACTACGATCAAAAAAGTCATAAGTTTCTTTTGATTAATTGTAAAATAAAAACTCAATTATATTGAGTACAAAATATCATTCTTGCGAAATATTCTAGGTGTGTTCTTATAAGTTGATTCAAGAAGTTTCCGCACATTATAAAATAATGACGTTCAAGATAGCTATAGTAAATATGTCTAATAATATTAATAGACTATCAAACACCAAATAAAATAAAGAACGATTTTTCTGGTATTCTCTTATAGAATAATCAAAAAATAAATATGAAATTATGTGCATTTTAGCTTCCTTACTTGTGTTAATTTGTACTACGTTAATATTAAAATTGTTATGGTTTATACGAATTGGATCCATAGCCCATTGGAGTTATATTATTGGATCTAATGTGTACCCAACGGATACAAATGGAAGCTTGATTTTGAGTGGTAGCTTATTCCTTTTTATAGTTTTAGGAACATTTATACCAGGTTTTTTATTTCCCAGAGTGAAGTTTCTAGCAACTGCGTTGAGTTTGCCGCCACAAATCCATATGGTTATGCTTCTGCATAGGCATATTGCGACTCGAATTGAAAATGATACATTTACAAAAACTCTTCGTGGGTATGCCGCAGTGACAATGTTATCCACAGTTTGGACTTTGACAAATTTATTATGGCGTAAATAAAATTACTGCATTAAAACTTTATTATTTACTTTAATTTCCTTTAATCATAATGTGTTCAGACTACAACTACAAATCAATAACCAAAAATCTGATTTAAGTCGCATTATTAAGGATTACCCGGCCGCGGTGGTCTAGCGGTTTAACACGCCGTTTTACTATGTTAGTCGCGGGTTGAATTCCTCGATTCCACAGTACAAACATTTGTATTTATGAGTACTCTCTCTGCTTACCTCGGAATTGTTGTATTGTGTGAATTATCCTGATATATCATTACTACTATTATTAGGGATAACTCAATATTGCATGAGATCATTATTTATACGTGAAGCATCGGCATAATCAAATAAAAGGGAACAATTAAATCCGTTCCACGGAAAAATCTATGGAAAGGATCTTGTATCAGAAAATACAGTGGAATTAAACAATTAAGTTTCTTTTCTGAAGTCGGTTAAAAATTAAACTCGTCTGGACATATGTCCAGACCAGAGTTTCCTTTTTTATAACTTCCATTTTTATGTAAGCAAGCTTTTGGTAACATTTAGTAGTAGTAGTTTATTTAATTTCAATCTATACACTAACAATAAAAGTGCAAGATGAGGCAATAGGAAGCTTCATTGTTCGGTTGGTATCTGCACGCCTTGAAAGCCATTGCAATTATCCACATTAAAAACAAAATGATGAAAACCTGTTATTATTCCAAAGAGAACGATGTCTCAGGTAAAGTTGATATTTGACATTACTATAATTGATATTAAATTACGAGTTAAGACGTCTGCAGCGGCTGCTCATCATCAGGCGGGTGGTATGCTGGATTTTTTTCGTTTCACATTTATTTATTTGCTATGTAAAACAAGTTACACACACATTGGTTCACATAGCTCGTTATTTATAAAAATTATTACTTAAACATTGAAATAAGTTTAAAGTTGTGGAATCAACTTCCAGCAATGGTATTTCCGAACCGATACGATATTGAAACCTTCAAGAAAAGAGCTTATTCCTTTTTAAAAGGCCGACAACGTACTTATTATTATTATTATTATTATTATTTATTCATCCAAAACAATACAAATTGTGTAGGATAACATAATTGCAACATTACAGTAATTTTTTGTCAACAACCTAATAGCAACTTAAATATTAAATCTAGGTATGTCAGCCAGCATAGTGCAGTAGGTCCTCATAAGTCTTTATGTCCATCATTATAATAGTCATCTACGGAATAGTAACACTTATTCAATAAATATGACCTCAATCTGGACTTAAACAATGTGAAACTATAAACAGTTTTTAAATGTATAGGTAAATTATTAAACAATTTTATAGATTGATATTTCGTACTGTGTGTAACTATTGTGAATTTAGGAATCATTTGGGATTGCAGATCTTTTCTCCTAGTACTTTCACGAATAATTCTTTCTTCGTTAGTTTCTATCTGGGTTAAGTTTTTCATCAAATTACAAACAGTCGCGAAAATGTACAAACAAGGCAGTGGCAAAATTCTTAATTCTTTGAAATAATTCTTACATGAATCCCTTTGTGGAACGCGCATTATTGTCCTAATTGCCCTTTTTTGAATCACAAAAGCAGAATTTACATTATAATAGAAACTATTACCCCATAATTGGATACTATATCGCAATTTGGACTCAACTAATGCGTAGTACATAGACTTCAGATGATTTATATTTAGTTCATCACGCAGAGTTCTAATTGCATAACAAGCGGAACTTACAGAGTTAACTATTTCTGCTAGTTCGGGTTTCCAATTTAAATGTGAGTCTATAAGTACTCCTAAGAACTTAACTGTTTCTACTAACTCTATTGGTGCACCTTCCAGTTTTATGTCCATCGTGTCTTTTTGTTTTGTTGTTGACTTAAACAAAATTACATTTGTCTTTTTAGCATTCACTTTTAGGTTGTTGGCTTTAAACCACATATTAAACAATTTTAGTGCCTGATTTGTTTTATATTCCAAGATTTGCAATGTATCTGCAGAGATTACAGCATTTGTGTCATCTGCAAATACTATTAAACTTAAATCAGACATTGAATTCTGCATGAATGTAATCAAATCATTAGTGAAAAGAAGAAACAATAATGGCCCCAATATAGAACCTTGCGGCACACCACGCTCAATTAATGTCAAATTTGATCTATACGTCATTTCGTGCACATCATCGATATACGAAGAACTTATTTCAACGTATTGTGTTCTATTTTTAAAATATGATTTTAATAATTTTAATTCATTGTTACGTATACCATAATATTCTAATTTTGTAAACAATATTTGATGATCCACCAAGTCAAATGCGGAGCTTAAATCAAGAAACAGTCCACTTATTTTTTGTTTTTGATTAAGTTTTACGATTATATCATCAATTAGTTGTACGGTAGCATCCGATGTACCAACATGTCTTTTGTATCCAAATTGTCTGTTATGTAATACTTCGTATTTATCAAGATGTTTGTCAATCCTTTTTTTAATTAACTTCTCTAAAATTTTTTCTCTAAAATTTCTTGCAATTCCCATGGTGATGCGGGTGCTCATGGGCGGCGGTAATCACTTACCATCAGGTGAGCCGCATGCTCGTTTGTCCCCTGTGGTATATAAAAAAAAAGGTTACTCTTTATGATGATAAATTGAAAAATAATAAAAGAATACTTTAATTTTTCAATTTTACAAATAATACTTGTGAGTACGTTAATTTGTTTGGTAATCAGTAAAATCCATACTTACAAAAGTAAAAAGTTAAGTATTTAGGTTTCGTCTACTTCGAACTTTAAATCACGATAATCGTGCTGTTAAAAGGTCATAATTACATACGAACGGATACTTTATGATACGTTTTGGGACGATCGAAAAGATATTCTGCGTTTTCGGGCACGATTTCGGAATGAATGTTTTTCATGGTACGAATCACACGAAATATCGAAATTTCGGAATTACACTTCGTGGTAGACCTGCTGGATCATCACTGGCTCATCACCTTCAATGGCAGTATAAAAAAGAAATGCTCAAAAATTGATAGTATATTTTATGACGTAGCTGATCTACTTTACCAAATGACAATGGGTGAAAAGATGTATAATGGGCATTAGTGGAAATGTATCATGTCAGGTCAACCTTTACTAGGCCTCTCAGGGGGACCCCTATGTCACAATTGCTAGCAATAACGGTATGTCAGGTCGGATGGTCTCCTTGGAAACTAGCATATTTTTATTCCCCATCATCATCATTGTTGTCGATTACTATTTTCGTCCATAAAAAAAAGAAGACAGTTTGTAATTATCTACTTTTTGATGTAATTGTGTATTATAGACATTAAGAGGCCTTTCACATTTTTTGGCCTAAAAGCAGTGTCTTTGGGGTTCTGGTTCTAAGAAATTAAGAGTCGGATATACATTTTGATTCCTGAATTATATAGATAGATATCTAATCTTAAAAACAACATCTTTGAAATGTTAATTTTCTCTTTGTTAGTCTTCCTAATTTCTAAAATAGTTTATTCAAAAACGCTAAATGACAGAAGTTTGGGGTCGTCGTTCATTAATAAACAAACATAAATTGATATGATATCTTTACTAAAACTTGATAATTACTTTATAAATTGAGACAGCATCGTCCTTTTTTTCATTTTCAACTAAAATATCTAAAAAATTGATCATAATTAAACCCGAAATTTCAACAAAACTTTGCCATAATCATTTCTAATTTTCTCATAAATACAACGAAATTTTTGCATAAAAAAAACATAATAATAAAGTTAATATACTTATAAATTAGAAATATGAAAAAAAAAATATAAGTTTCTAAGAAAAAAATAAACAATAATAATAATTTAAAGTTGTATAAATTCCGTTGCGCCAAAAGTAAATTCTCAACCTCCCCACGGGCCCACCCGTTCCACCCCGACCACACTTTTACACACACACACGACACCGTCCTCGCCGGCGAAGACGACGACTTCAAACACACAATATCGCGCATTCAACCGGGCGCCTGCGCGCGCCCGGGCGCTCCACACCGGCGCCCCCGGGCGCCCCTCCGATCGATCCCCCGTCCAATTCAAACGGGGATCGAAATTACGACGGCCTGAGCCGAGGTTCGAACCCCTAGTGGTGCCCTCAGACTAAAGTCGTATCCGTCGGGCAGGAGTTGGCCTTCAGCCGCTCCATAAGTCCTTCCGCGGGTTTGGAGTGCCATCTGCACTCGCCCCATAACGTCCGGTGAAGCTGTAAAGGCCAGCTACGGCCAACAGCATTAGAGTAGTCCGAAAAAAAAAAAAAAAAAAAAAAAAAAGTAAATTCTCAGTGCTGCGCTAGCGCTCGTCGAGGTAGGACCTATGCCATTTTTTACAACACCGCTAAGATAAGACATTCGTCAGTGAACATTAGTATAGAGCGACTAAACAATTTTGATAATTTAAGTAATATTTAATTAATTTTGCTAATATATACTTATTTCTACGAATATTAATTTAAAGTTGTTGTTAAATATATATATATATATAATATTTATTTTAGCATGCCAAGACAAAAGTACAGTTATGCCACAAATAAAACCTACCTACCCTGCTGGACTATGAAAAGCACAAGAGCATGGTATTTCGTCACACTAATGGCAATTAATTGTTAAAATTAAAAAAGAGAACATTTTAGTATTTTTAAAAATAACGCTTATCTGAGAGCAAAATGTAAGAAAATGTAAACCAATTTTACTCTATGTTTATTTTGTAGTTTTTTTCTAAATTAAAATAGGGTTATTGTTTATAAAAATACATTATTATTTTTACGTACATTTGTCTTGTGTTATATAGTGTATATCATCTAGTATGCAATGTGGATTGTAAATAAATTACCAAATTATATATAAATTATATTCCTTAATGTTTAGAGATATTTTATCCAATTTTATTTTATTTTACACAATACAGATATTTCTAAATTGCAGCTATTCTGTTATTATACTCGTTGGACTTTCATTACTGTACAGTTATGTCAAATAATTATGCGTGTTTGGGTGAAAAGTCAACAATATTATAAATGTTTTTATTTAGAGACTAGCTTTTAGCTCGCGGCTTCGCCCGCGTGAATATGGGATATATAGGTTATCGCGCGTTTAAAGATCCGTGTACAGTATTGGGACGTTATATATAAACCTTCCTCTTGAGTCTATCTATTCTGTCTATTAAATAACAACGAATCAAAATCTGCGTAGTTTTTTAAGATCAAAACATACATAGATCTATTACATGTGTAGATGATATTTTAACCGGAAATTGAAGACGTTAAAATGGTATTGGCAGATCAGTTGGAATCATCGGTATTCTTGGTATATAAGCTGGTTACCCAGCTAACGTACCGGTTATAATGGTCTACAATTAAATTGTCTTTCAATTCTTTAGTAAGCAATATATCCAATGGGACGCCATTGCACATGTTCGGCGGGCTTAAATTTCATGACTGGATCATGCTTTTGAGAAATTCCTTCCTCAAGTTTGAGCATTTAGTGTGGGAAATCACTATCTGTGCTTCCATAAAAATGAGCTCTCAAATTTGTCAGTGGTTTTAAACTTTCAATTAAAGTCCATAAGGGTGACGATGTTAATGACACAGAGAGTCTTTCAGAAATCTCCAGCAAAAGTATAAAAGTAATCCCGCCAATGAGAGCAGAGGTGTTTCTAAGGTCTTTTAAGGTTCTGTCCAAAATCTCTATAGCTCATGGTGATTTCATTACATATAATCAATGAGGCGTCTTATAATAATTTATAAAAAGGTTTGACATTAACAATTAATTATTTATCAAGAATCAAGAATCGGCCAACCAAGAACGAGAAGCTGCAATATCAGCCAATATCATGCGGCGACGTCAATGATGCAGGAACAGCAATGATAGCAGTTGAAGGTTTTTTTTTACAACTTAGAATGGCAAACAAGCTGACGGCTCTCCTGATGGAAAGGGGTAACCGTCGCCTATATACATGAGCAGTACCTGACATGTTCATATCAGCACATTGTTTCCCTCATGCGTTGCCATTCCTGAAAACTCGGGTGTTATTCCCCTGTACCTTGTAAATTCACTACCATATATATACACAGGTAGTCTATATAGATAGATATACATATACATAGATAGTATACCCTGAGAAAGGTCATAGACTACTTTATAGTGCGAAAAAAGTATTGTAAGGGATTAAAAGCGGAGATGAAAGGTTGCATAAAAGTATCGTCATTGTTTAAGTGAAACAAAGAAACTTTTTTAGGTTATAATCTAAATATATTTCCTTTATTTGGTCAATTTCATTATACCACGCTGACGAAGTCGCGGACACACCTAATATACATATAAGGATGGGACCTTTAAATCAAAACAAAGCCTTGAAAACACAACTATTATATATAAATAAAATAATTATTTGCTAAGTATAATATTTAGAACAAGTGAATATGGCAATAATGTATCCGACTCTTATAATAAATTATATTGTATCTATTAATAAATAAACTGAATTAATACGTAAGAAGAATTAATTAGTAAATTTATGTTATAGTAATTTCATCTTCCTGTCCCAATTATTTGTTACTCATATTACTTAAGGTTTTGGCTTTTAGTTGTACAATCGGCCAGCATCCTGACATCAACCCTCTAGGAATAATATAATAAAAAAATATGGTCATTATTAGCACTTTGATAATTAAGATAAATCACGTTATTTAAAAAAATCCAATAAGTAGTTTATGTTACTCAGTTAAGTAGAAACATATCACATTATTAATTAAAATATTACAAGGATCAAAATGGTTCATACTAAATCCACACCGATTGAGCTACACGGTTATTTGCGTCTGTGTGCGTGTATTACTGTATGTGTGCGTAAATCCATGCGATTAAACCTAAAGTTGAGCGGCATCATTTTGTAATAGGCCTCTTAATAAAAAGAAAAAAAAACATTACATTATTGGGAATCATTTTTACTGGATTTACGTTTACTGTTTACTGGATTAATTTGTTAATTTTCAGATCAAAGATATTAAAAGATTAGTGATTAATAAAGTTTATTTACGCAATGACTACGAGCTAATGTACAGATGTGAATTAATGAAGCAAAACACAATTAATGCGATTCTTTTAAATATAGTATTATTATAATGTATAGTGTAGTATGTACAGTAGTATATGTTGCACATCGAACAATAATTAGTTAAATGAATAATTCCATCTGACAATAAAATTCAAGTATTTAGGCTGCGGTGATTTAATTTATTTTTAGAATCTCCATATAATTTGTGTTCCTAGACTACAGTTTATCGCGATATTATTCCACGATAAGGTAAACTAGTCGCTCGAACGCGACGATCGAAGCAAGTTGTGTTACCTAACTATTGTGTCGTGTACAGTATCCGTTCGGATTTATACCTTCGTCACGAGACCGGTACTTAAATAAAAAAAGTTAAACTTAAAAAACAAATTCATTTGACATTGACAGGTAACCTATATTTACATTTATTTTCATTTCATGAAAAATATTGATTGATTTTTAAATAAATGTGTCTGTTCTCTGTGGGATTGTTGTTAACTTCTACATTATTAGTTAATATAAAATGTAAACATTCGAAATGTGTGCTGAACTACAAAAATAGCTTTTTAGTAATAAAATAATTGAGTGATCAATGTTGATATTCGTGCACTTATTTTTAAATAACTTTATTTGCGAGCAGGTAATTATTTATTCAACATATAATTTTGTATACATTAGAAATGTTTAATATATTATTAAAAAAAGGGTACTCTGCTACATTTTATCCTTAAAATCTTCAAAAGGTATTCAAATGTAAGGTCAGAGATTGACCATGATTAGGTTTCCTTTGCCATACAAATGTCAATAAATGATTGACTGTTGTCCAATTAGAGATTAATACGTACATTGTACATTTAGTATTGTGTATATACTTTCCTTATACATATGAGGAAAAAAAAATAAGTGAAGTTTAAGTGAAAAACAGAAGTAAGTAGGAAATATTTAATATGACTATTTGTTATCCTTTATTATTGTATTATAAAAGGGCTGTAGCCTTATGAGTTAATTATATAAAATAATAAATGTGTTTAACTATCTCGTTACATATTTATTATAATTTAATGGACACAAGTACACATGGTGAACTTAACACCACATATAAAATATTTAATTTGTTAATTTCTGAATGGCATTAATGTTTGTAATATTATGTATATGTTTGTATGTTAACTCTCCATTGAAGTGTGTTGCAACATGTACTTGAAGTTTATAAAATAGTATAACACTCAACTACTATTTAGAATATGGGTGGAACTCACTTTCTGAGATCAGGATGTGACTAATATTCATACAAGGTATTACTTTTTAAACTAAATGTAATGTTCCAGTTATAAAAACTGATTTTAAAAGAATATACCTAATGAGTTTTTAAATTTGAAAGGTATAAAGGCACTCCAAACCTGCAAAAAGACTTATCGAGCGGCCGAAGGCTAAGTTTTGCCTAACAGATATGTTTTTTTTTAATTATTGTGGAATACGCAATAAATACTACAAACTTGATTATCAAGTCATTACTTGATAATCACAAGCAGTTTATTATTTGTACTTTATTAAAATATTTTATTTTATTTTTAGAATGGGCAACACAAGTAAGAAGTTGGCAGCGAAATGTACCTTACTGACCAAAGATGAACAGAAGTATGTAGCGGCAACATTCAGAGCGGCCAGTAAGAATTCTGAGAGGATACGGGAGGATGATCTCATCGTGAGTGGAAAAGTAGATGCAGTGTTGCTAGAAGTTTGTTCATTTTTTGTTATTCCTTTGTTTTAGTTATCTTATACATATATATTCAGCTGGTGCCAGTTTTTTTTATTATTTGAATCATTTCTTTGTTTTTCTTATTATTTGTCCATCTGTTTTGATGTCATTAATTTTTTTTATAGGTCACAATCCTATGTGGTTGTAGCCCACTCATGCATAAACGTAATATCTCCTTTGGAAAGTATACACTATGTCCTGAGGAGATAAATCACTCCTAAGAATATCCTTCATAACTTATTACGGGTATAGGTAGCCAACTCTGAAAAGTGTGAGCACAAATAGATCTATGTAGGTTGTAGAGCTACAGGTAACTTTTTTTTTTACTTGGAGAAAATACCTTATGGTGACCCGCCGGGCCCATGGGAAGCCCGCGGGTACTGTGAGACTCCTACTCACTAAAAACTCCAAGATGTCCCTCACCCAACGCCTATGCCGGAGTCGCGGGATCGATGACAGTCAACCGCAACTCCGGCGGCGGTGGCCCACTCTAGCAGCGGGCCCCATCTCTGCGGGTTCCCTAATGGAACCCACTACTTCCCCTCCTCTTCCCTGGGGAATCTACAGGTACCTGACGAAAGCCCACACAACCCAAAAGTTACAAAATACTATACAAACGTATGTTTATATTTCCATGAAGCATACAGATTGTATCTTTAGTGATATCTATAGTTTTTTAACACTTGATAATGCTTTGCAAGTCAAAGAAAAAATTGTCAAAAACACCTATAATTTTTCTATTAGCTGATAATGTAATAAACATTGTAAGCTATCCTATTCCCCAATTTCATAAATTAAATTCCCTTTGATTGTATTAATAAATATTGATATATTTAAAATAGATAATAATAGACATACTAAAAGAAATTGCAGTTAACATTGAAATTCTTTTCCCCATAAAATTAAAAGTCTTCCTAAATAACTGGCACTGGCTGAACATCCATTACATACAAGTATTGGTAAGTGAAGTTGAGCAATTACATCAATTTCTGTCCAGTCATTTTTGTGTCACCATACTTAAACAAGACAGGTACTGTAATACGTTTGAAGCATATTATTCTGGTAATTATTATAATTATTTAATAAATAACAATTAAACCAATCAATGAAAAGAATGAAACAAAAAAAACAATCATAGAAATACTAGAGATGAATGGAAATAAAATTTCACATAATTAAAAAGTAATAAGAATTTTTTTTATTTTCATTCATTCAGTCATTTATATGACTCAACATAAACAGACATAGACGTTCCCATCCTAAAAACGTTAGGTTATCAGGTCACTATCTCATTCGCAATAATTTTAATGAATTATAAATATATATATGAGAATTTTTAGTTTTGGGTACTAAGTACTAAGGTCATTTTGTTATGTACTTTTTGCCTGATGCCTTCTCACCAATGCCTATTAAATAAAAAAATATATTTTATAAAAAAATAGATTATTGATTATGAATTTCGAATTCTATTACCCTATATTAGAATTCGAAATTCAAAAATAAGCCATTGTCCTTGACATGACAGAACTGTTTTATAACTTTTTAAACAACACCGAATAATGCGGTTTGGCGCGCAAACACGACGCCAAACCGTACAGCCATGTGTTAATCTGTGGCTTCAGGAGTGGGTTGTATCCAGTTGATTAATATTTCTCTAGATGGTTGAATACTGCTAATGACATTTTAATGGCCTTGGCGCCCATATACATCCATAAGATGCGCCCGTTTTTTATTGCGTAAGATTTAATTAACTTTTTAAAATAAATTAAATCTTATAGAACTAAAATTCAATATATAATTTAAAATTAGTATTTAAAATTTAATAGACAAGTTTTGGCTTCAAAAGGCTGTTCTCAAGAAAACTCTTTTTTAATTGATTTAAAAAATGAATAAATATTTGTTTATGGTTACTATTTAGCTACCAAGCTAGCTAACGCATCTTTTATAAACCAATTGACCACTTAACTACCAACTTTCTATTTGCCCACAATTTTTTTACACTTCCTGGAGTTGTTACTATCCTGCTGGAGACAACTGTCCCGTATAGGGGGAAAGGGGATTGTGATGTGAATTAATGATCTTGTTGCTAGCAATGTACCATGTCAGTTTGACCTCTACGCTGGGCTACCTGATCTGACTTCATATTCATCCTATCATTACCATTTTTTTGTGGATGATAATGAAATGGTGCACCCGACTGCGCTAGCGGTTCGCGCTGGCGGGGCGCCAGTGGAGGATGATAAGATGAGCACGAGGTCAGGCCAGGTCATCGTGACAAATTCAAGAAGAATTTATCAACGTGTTTCCAGGGGGAACCGCGTGGAGTCAACCTGACATGGTTCATTGCTAGTAATGGGGTCATGAGTCCACGTTACTAACAATCACCTTCCCACCCATGCGAAACAGTTTTAATTGACATATGTTGGACATTGACTTTATTTGTAATTTTTATTCTAAAACTTGCGAGTTAGTGTACTTGTTAAGTTGGGCAAAAATGTACTTGTATCCAGAGCCCTAAAACATTTTAATAAAAAAATATTACGTACCTGTCTTGTCTATGTAAGTTACTAAATTGCACTGAATTCCTAGTTTCACTTGTATGTAATATAAATTTGTAATTAAGTTATACACCCGATTCACATTTCGTTTCGTTAGTCCCATTCATATGTACAGTGACGTAACTATACCACATGGTATCTACCCTCGCTTTCTTTAAAAATATTATATTCGTCTCGGACCAGGGGCTAGGGAAGCCAACCTTACGAAAATCCTCGAATAATTGAGAGCTACAGGATTTTTGGTCTTTGGTTATCAGTACAAGTTTGTGAGAGATTTTGACTTAAGGTAATCGACCAAAATACAATTAGGTACCAGGTTTGATAACCAAGCAGAAATAGAAATCTTTAATTAAATTAGCTTACATAATATAGGCACTTTTGATTAGTCATAATTTTTAGATTTGGTCACTCTTTCTCAGACAGAATCATTACATGAAGAATGAGGAATCTTGCGTTATGCCGTTTTAAATAAATTTCAGTTGTTTAGAATTTTACGTTAGTACAAACTGCTAAATAGTTAGGTTGACATAAATAAATATATATTTACTTGAGTAAAAAATAAATTAGACCAATCCCTACAAGGAGCCTGCCATCACTGCGCTCAACCATATTTTAGGGAGCCAAATGACATGAACCACCACACATTGGAGTAATATACGATTTTATCACTTTTTTGTTTCTTCATACGAGACTAATATGTTTTAAGGTTGGCAACCCTACCTGGAGGCCATCTTGCCCGTGGTATTTTCCCGCTCTGCCAGTAGCACCCTATTGTTACGTCACTGTATATAGTAACCTCTGTTTACATTACGCACTCGCCTATTTTGTTGACACTACGAGGTAGCACTATGTAAATTACGCATTAACACCAGGTTATGGGTAATATAAAATATATTTTTTTTGTACTGTAGTTGTAAGTAGTTTAAGAGAAGCGTTACCATTTTTGGGAGTTGTATTTGTTTAAATTATTTGTAATATTCCATCATATTTTCACCGAAGTAGACTTTGTAAAAAGTCATCTGCGTGCGTCATCTACCTCAGTCTCACCTATTTCAGCAGCCGAGCAGCTTGCTTTGTGAGCTGTTTCGGTAGGCTGTGGTATGTAGTAAAATTACAGGATAAGGGGCATGATATCTTAGTCCTCTTGTTATTAGTCTTCTGTTTCGGTTGCAGCGAAGGTAAGATAATGAGAGGTAGCAAGAAAGCCGGTCGCTCTCTTAAATAATTATGTAACTTTACATTTTTAAGTTGATATGTGTGAGTACAGAACACCAACTAGCACTAATTCATTAGTCAAAATATTAAATCATAATCAACTGGTTAAGTAACTAAGTTTTAAATCAGTCGTAGTGATTCATACAGACCAGTCCTTACAAGCAGCACTCGTTCGCGAGTATGACGGATAAGCCAGTAATTACTGCGCTCGACCGTATTTTAGGGAGCCCAATGACGCGGAGAAGTGGTTTTCCCCGCGTCGTTGGGCTCCCTAAAATACGGTCCCATTACTAGCAAACCATCCCCCCAAATCAACTGAGTTTGGTATACCCTAACACAAATGATGGGGGGGAAAGGGATTGTTAGTAGTGTGGACTCTCGACCCCATTGCTAGCAATGTACCATGTCAGGTTGACCTCCACGCGGTTCTCCCTGGAAACCATCGTGATAAATTCCAGATGAATTTATCACGATGGGCTAACTGACCCGACCTCATTCTCATCTTATCATCTTCCACTGGTGCCCCGCCAGCGTAAACCGTTAGCGCAGGCGGGTGCACTATTTCATTATCATATATAAAAAAAAACACAAATGATGGACTTTTTAGTCCGCGGAGAACAAAAATCCCCTTGTAAATTACAGACTTACATGGGCACGTGTGCGACACGTAATTTGGACAACCAAATACAGTGACATCTATAGTAAGAGTAATAAAGTTTAAATTACTATGACTCATATATCACAAAATTCCGTTCGTTTCGTCTCGCCATCACGCGTGTTTTTCTCTCACGTCTAGCAATACTGTTTTTAGATTTTTCTACCATATTTTTAAAACTGCGGCTGCTTTATCGGAGTTCAACGATAGTTCGAGATTTTCGCAGTTCGTTTTATTAAATACGATTTTATGTAACTAGAAACCCAATTTGATAGCCCATTTAACGGTAAGTGGCAACTTGAAGTGCATCACGGATATCACGTCATCATATAACGTCTGTGATATATGTATTTATAAAAAAAAAAAGATTTTATGCATGTAGATAGATTGTTTAGTAACCACAACTCAAGTTCTACTTAGATTGGAACTAGATGGCGCTGTGTGAATTGTTCAGGATTATTATTGTTATTAATATATAGGCTGTGTTATTCTGGAAAAAATGTACCTTTTCAACAGTGAAAGATATTTTTTAAACGTGGTTTTTCAAGTAC